GATTAAGGATGTTGAGTAGGTAATCAGCAGTATCTGCTATAGTGTGAAATGGTGGACCATTGAGAGGAAGACTTCATAAATACTTTTGAGCTTGAAGGTCGCTAATTTAACCATTAACGGTCTCTTGTAAATGTGACCATGGGAAGTTCTTTTGTTAGTTTGTCAGTTGTTTTTTCAGGGGAGATGGTGAGGATGGGGGAGATTCTCTTTAATTTGTAACTCCTGGCCAGGTGCGGTGGCTCATGCCTGGAATCCCAGCCCTTTGGGAGGCTGAGGCCGGCGGATCACAAGGTCAGGAGTTTGAGATCAGCCTGACTAGTATGGTGAAACCACGTCTCTATTAAAAATACAAAATTAACTGGGCGCAGTGGTTCATGCCTGGAATCCCAGCACTTTGGGAGGCCCAGGCAGGTGAATCACTTGAGGTTAGGAGTTCGATATTAGCCTGACCAACATGGTGAAACCACATCTCTACTAAAAATACAAAAATTAGCCAGGCGTGGTGGCGGGTGCCTGTAATCAATTCCAGCTACTCAGGAGGCTGAGGCCGGAGAATCACTGAACCTGGGAGGTGGAGGTTGCAATGAGCCAAGATCTCACCACTGTACTCCAGCCTGGGTGACAAAGTTAGATTCCATCTCAAAAAATTGTAACTCCTGGATTATCCATTTTTGTTTGACACCCCCAGAATATACTTTCTCCATCTATGTTGAACATATCCAATCTTAGCCTTCCATCTGAAAAAAGGTCCTCTGCTCACCTGCTCTTTTCATCCTAACTACTCCCTCTCTCCTATGCTTCTTCCCGTCTCGCTCTAATCCCATGGCTCTGGTTGCACCATTTAGGGGAAAACAGAAATCGTTTAACCTCAACCAGCTCTTCGCATCATAAACTGGCCTGACCATAACTACATCAGTCTTTTGTCTTGTTCTTCCTTCTCCTTGAAAGCTGTCTGTTTCCAGACATCCTGGGGAGTTTCCACAGAGTAAATACTCAAAAGTGTTTACTGAATAAATGCATTTATTCTGTCCCTTCTCCAGCCTTTTTCAACCTCCACCTTTGTGTGGGCGCAAGGAAGTTTTACATGTATCTTTGGTCCCCCTTGCTCAGTCTTAAAACAACGGTCTGCAGACATTTGTTTCCTATTTTTTAACAGCTTTATCGAGACATAATTTATATAGCTCAATATATGCCATAACATTTACCTGTTTTTAAGTGCACAAATCAATTACAGTTAATTTATAGAACTGTGAAAACAAGACACAATCCAGTTTTAAAGTGTTTGCATCAACTCCCAAAATATCATCTCCCATCCCCACCTGCAGTCAGTTCCCATTCTCAGCCCCAGGCAGCCATAATCAGTTCCCATCCTCAGCCCCAGGCAGCCGTAATCAATTCCCAGCCTCAGCCCCAGGCAGCCGTAATCAATTCCCAGCCTCAGCCCCAGGCAGCCGTAATCAATTCCCAGCCTCAGCCCCAGGCAGCCGTAATCAATCAATTCCCAGCCTCAGCCCCAGGCAGCCGTAATCAATCAATTCCCAGCCTCAGCCCCAGGCAGCCGTAATCAATTCCCAGCCTCAGCCCCAGGCAGCCGTAATCAATTCCCAGCCTCAGCCCCAGGCAGCCCTAATCAATTCCCAGCCTCAGCCCCAGGCAGCCCTAATCAATTCCCAGCCTCAGCCCCAGGCAGCCGTAATCAATCAATTCCCAGCCTCAGCCCCAGGCAGCCGTAATCAATCAATTCCCAGCCTCAGCCCCAGGCAGCCGTAATCAATCAATTCCCAGCCTCAGCCCCAGGCAGCCGTAATCAATTCCCAGCCTCAGCCCCAGGCAGCCGTAATCAATTCCCAGCCTCAGCCCCAGGCAGCCGTAATCAATTCCCAGCCTCAGCCCCAGGCAGCCGTAATCAATTCCCAGCCTCAGCCCCAGGCAGCCGTAATCAATTCCCAGCCTCAGCCCCAGGCAGCCGTAATCAATTCCCAGCCTCAGCCCCAGGCAGCCGTAATCAATTCCCAGCCTCAGCCCCAGGCAGCCGTAATCAATCAATTCCCAGCCTCAGCCCCAGGCAGCAGTCATCTTCTGTCTCTATAGAGCTGCCTTAAAAAAAAAAAAAAATAATAATAATAATAATTCATGGCCGGGCGCGGTGGCTCACGCCTGTAATCCCAGCACTTTGGGAGGCCGAGGCAGGCGGATCACGAGGTCAGGAGATCGAGACCATCCTGGCTAACACGGTGAAACCCAGTCTCTACTAAAATACAAAAATTAGCCGGGCGTGGTGGCGGCGCCTGTGGTCCCAGCTACTCGGGAGGCTGAGGCAGGAGAATGGCGGGAACCCGGGAGGCGGAGCTTGCAGTGAGCCCAGATCGCGCCACCGCGCTCCAGCCTGGGCGGCAGAGCGAGACTCGTCTCAAAAAGAAAAAACAAAACGCGAATTGGGAAGTGTGCTGCAGATGATAATGACATCATTAAAAGGTAACTATTTGATGCATATGGGAATTTAGTATATGAGAAAGATGATATTTCAAATCAATAATCTTGACAGGGCGCGGTGGCTGCCCTTTGGGAGGCCCAGGCCGAGGCGGGTGAATCACCTGAGGTCAGGAGTTTGAGACCAGCCTGGCCAACATGGCGAAACCGTCTCTACCAAAAATACAGGCGTGGTGGCGGCGCCTGTAGTCCCAGCTACTGGAGAGGCTGAGGCAGGAGAATCGCTTGAACCTGGGAGGCAGAGCTTGCAGTGAGCCGAGATCGTGTCACTACACTCCAGCCTGGGCAACAGAGTGAGTCTCCATCTCAAAAAAAAAAAAAAAATCTTGTGGGGAATGTTTTTCTACATATGACAAAAGGTGCAGATGTGTAGAGAAAAATATTCATACATTTTACCACATTAAAACATTCTACCTGGAAAAAATATCAAACTTTTTAAAATCACAAGGTGGAAATATTTGCAACTTATATCATAGACTAAGGACTAATTTCCTTAATAAACAACTTTAATAAACCTGTAAGGAAAAGACCAGCAACCCACCAAAAAAATGAACAAAGTACTTAAGTTATTTAATAAAAAATGGCTCTTGGCTGTGTGTGGTGGCTCACGCCTGTAATCCCAGCAATTTGGGAGTCCAAGGTGGGCAGATCATGAGGTCAAGAGATCGAGACCATCCTGGCCAACCAACATGATGAAGCCCCGTCTCTACTAAAAATAAAAAAATTAGCCTGGCATGGTGGTGTATGCCTGTAGTCCCAGCTACTCAGGCAGCTGAGGTGGGAGAATTGCTTGAATCCAGGGGGTGGAGGTTGCAGGGAGCTGAGATTGTGCCACTGCACTCCGGCCTGGCGACAGAGACTCAGTCTTTAAAAAAAAAAAAAAGGCTCTTAAATGTATGATACTCAGACCCCCTCAAAATAAGAGAAATGCAAATCAAAACTATGAGATACCACTTTTATATTACAAAATTGGCAAAACTTGAAAAGTTTGTAACATTCTCCATTGATGAGTATATGGGGGAAATGGGGGTACTCAAATGTATTGCTGATAGTTTAAGTTGGTACAACCTTCATAGTAAGTACTACGCATTGGTAAAACGCACTCCAACCTCATCTCCTACTGTTTCTTCTCTTGCACAATTTGTATTAGCCACATTGGCCTCCTGCTCCTCCTCAAACATGCAAGGCACACTCCAGCCCCAGGGTAGCGCACTTACCTTTCCCTGCTAATCCTGAAATGCATACCAATTTTCCCTTACCTCCTTCAGGCCTTTGCTCATCACATGATCTAAAACAGTGGTTCCCATCCCCTCTATCATTCTCCTTTTCACCCTGTTTTCTTTTGAGCACTTATCATCTGATGACACTGTTCTATGCATTTATGTCTCTGCTCCCCAACTGTAAACCCAGGACATTGTTGTATATACTGCTGTAACCCAAACTCCAGAACAGTACAGGCTTAGAATGTAGTAGGTGCTCATTATCTACAAATACTTAATGAATGAATGGATGAACGTCCATTGAAGACAACTTAGCATCTATTAAAACTTAGAATGGACATACTTAGTAATTCCCCTTTAGGCATTTATCTAATAGATATCCTTGCATATGTGCAAAACAGAGAATGTACAAGGTTATTTCCTGTAGCACTGTTTGTAGTCATGAAAGGAGAAAACAACCTGAGGACAATTTTTTTTGGGGGGGGATGGGATTTCACTCTTGTTGCTCAGGATGGAGTGAAATGGTGTGACCTTGGCTCACTGCAACCTCCACCTCCCGGGTTCAAGTGATTCTCCTGCCTCAGCCTCCCGAGTAGCTGGGATTACAGGCATGCACCACCACACCTGGCTAATTTTGCATTTTTAGTAGAGATGGGGTTTCTCCATGTTGGTCAGGCTGGTCTCGAACTCCTGACCTCAGGTGATCCGCCCGCCTTGGCCTCCCAAAGTCCTGGGATTATAGGTGTGAGCCACCGCGCCCAGCAACCCAAGGACAAATTTTAAAATAAGTTACCTATAGCCAGGCGCAGTGGCTTGTCTGTAATCCTAGCACTTTGGTAGGCTGAGGCGGATCACTTGAGCCCAGGAGCTGGAGACCAGCCTGGGCAACATGGTGAAACCCTGTCTCTACAAAAAATACAGAAATTAGCCAGGTGTGGTGACAGGCACCTGTATTCTCAGCTACTTGGGAGGCTGAGGGGGGAGACTCACTTGAGCCCAGGAGGTTGAAGCTGTGGTGAGCTGTGATCATGCCACTGCACTCCAGCCTGGGTGAGAGTGAGACCCTGTCTCAAATAAAAAATAAACTACCTATATCTATACAACAGAATAAAGGAATACTATGTAGATATGGAAAAATCTCTAATTCAGAAAATTATTTGGCTCCCTTTGGCTACTATATGTATGAGATCTGACTATTTCAAAACTCTGGTGATATCACAAGAATGAGCTCCCTTTTAATGAAGCGCTTACTGATAAGGAGAGTGGAAGTGAACAGGTAGAAACAGTGAGTAATTATTTTCAGTTTTATTTAATAAACATCAATTTCCTTGTAGAAAACAGAATTTCTACCAATTATACAATACTGTAATAAGGATAAACGTATCAAATCACAGACGTTGTTAAACGAAGATGCCCTCTTGCAGATCCAGTCATGAACAGACCTAAACTGGCAGTGCCTATTGTTCATTTATTATGGGTGGATTTCCCATTTTACAAACAAACCTTTTATTTAAGGGAAGAGGTTCAGCGTTTCACAATGTCTTTAATATATAATTTCCTGATACCGGAGGGGCAGAATTCCCCTCTGTCCATCAAGTGACATCTGCTTGCAGCTGTAGGGAATTTTGCAGGGCACGCTTTTCCAGAGATAAATACATATAAAGGTATAACACATACGAGGTAATGCCCTGGTAACCATATATGCCCCCCAATCTTGTCAAACTATAATTTGCTTATCGTTCCTCAAAAAAAATTGTTTCTTGTCCCTTTACTACTTCCCCTCTCCTTCTTTTCAGTTGCTCTTATTAGGAATCCACATAAGCATATACCTAAACACTACTATGTCAAGGGCCAGGCCAACTCCTATCTCTTTACTAAAGGACAAAGCCTTCCCTTACTATTCTACTCTACAGTAATATACGCTCTGGCCTTCTTTAGCCTTTATCATGCATTTGGCTCTAATGTTTTTGTTGCTTAATACTGCTAGTTTTTCACAAGTTTTGACATCTTCAGTTAGATTGTAAGCTCCTTTTTTTTTTTTTTTTGAGAGTTTTGCTCGTCGCCCAGGCTGGAGTAGAATGGCGCGATCTCGGCTCACTGCAACCTCCGCCTCCTGGGTTCAAGCGATTCTCCTGCCTCAGCCTCCCGAGTAGCTGGGATTACAGGCACCCGCCACCACGCCTGGCTAATTTTTGTATTTTTAGTAGAGACGAGGTTTCACCATGTCGGCCAGGCTGGTCTTGAACTCCTGACCTTAGGTGATCCACCCGCCTCAGCCTCCCAAAGTGCTGGGATTACAGGTGTGAGCCACCACACCCGGCATGATTGTAAACTCCTTAAAGGCAGATTCCTTTATTCTATTTTTCACACATTCCTCCTGCACCTACCTAGTAGATGCTGTAAATGTCCTGGTTTTGAAAAGTAACATGGTCAATCCCCTATAACCCCACATATGTATTTAGTATTCTTTAAAGCTTTTTCCAGAACCAGTCTGGTAATAAACATGGATGTTCTGCTGGCCCGATGCATGTTTTGAGGGTTTGGTATCATAACTCATCGGCTGACTCTGACACGGATGTTCTGCTGGCCTGATGCATGTTTTGAGTGGTTGGTGTCAGAACTCATCGGTTGACTCTGTGTCCCAGCCACAGGACTGCAGTTGATCGTCCTGTGGGAATTCAACCTCAATGTCATAAACAAAATTTGGATCATCCTTCTTCTTCTGATTTTTCTCAAAAAGTTCATCCATGATGCTCTTCCTTTTGGCAAGCTCCTTGTCATCTAGTTTGTTCAGGTCTTCCTCAGGATCAATGGTTGTTTCCCTTCGAATTTGTTCCATTGTTTCTGCCAAACTCTGTCCTGACAAGTAACCTCGTAAAAAACTGAATAGCTTCTCTAGCTGCCTCAGGGATACTTGTTCTAGGTAACTCTTGTGTCGAGGATTATTCTTTAATTGTTCAGCAGCTCTGGTGCAATCTGGGAGAGAGAAGAAGAAAACTATATACCACATACATCATATACGCCACAAACTACTGCAACAGCCAAAATAGAACAAAAACTCTGAACCCTGAAAGCATTATCTCCATATAGTCAAGTAGCTAAATGGCTTGATTGAAATGAATTATTTTGTAGAACTATTCTTTTTTTTTTTTTTTGAGACGGAGTCTCGCTCTGTCGCCCAGGCTGGAGTGCAGTGGCGCGATCTCCACTCACTGCAAGCTCTGCCTACCGGGTTCACGCCATTCTCCTGCCTCAGCCTCCCGTGTAGCTGGGACTACAAGCGCCCGCCACCACGCCTGGCTAATTTTTTGTATTTTCAGTAGAGACGGGGTTTCACTGTGTTAGCCAGGATGGTCTCGATCTCCTGACCTCGTGATCCGCCCGTCTCGGCCTCCCAAAGTGCTGGGATTACAGGCGTGAGCCACTGCGCCCGGCCGAACTATTCTTTTATATTGAGCTTTCAGTGTGGTGGGAGAAGGAGAGATATAGTTTCGACTTCTTTAACTTAAAAATCACTTTGTAGAGATATTAAACACTTTCAACTGGAGAATATGTCTGAGAAGAAAAGTGATATTATAGCTTTTAGATAGCAGTAGTGGTATTAATAAAATATTAAGACTACAAATAAAAAACATTTGGAAGGAGAGAAGGGAATTAATATTATTGCATAATGCTATATCATTTAACCTAGGTAGCAATCCCAAAAAGATTATTAATTATCAAACTGGAAAAAAAATTCCCTTTTACAGATTAGGAAACTGAAGCTCATTGACACTAAGTAATTCATCCAGTGTCACACATCCAATCCCTGACAAAGTCATGATGTGAACCTGTATTTAGAGAATATTTAAGACAGGAGGCAAGATAAGACAAAAGTTACCTGAAAACTTTGAAAAGTTTCGAACTGGCATAATGCGCTGGCGAATTTTCCCCTTGACTTCACTCTCATAGATTAAGACAATAGCTGGAGGCTGAACCCTAATCCCACATTTCTTGGCAGTGCACATCATTCCCACGTACATGTCAGGGTAAGTCAGAGGAAATCTGATGGAAATGTGTAAGTTGCATAATGACTTCCTGCTACAGGGAAAAAACAACTAGGTGTTGGATAAATGTCATTCATTCCCCTCGCCCCTTTGCCCCAGAAGATCCGATTCTAGTCTAGCTCTGGCCACAGATGCTCAGCCTGTGAAGCTCAATATTTTTTTAAAATTAAAATGTAGAATCTTCATGAATTTGTGTGTCATCCTTGCGCAGGGGCCATGCTAATCTTCTCTGTGTCATCCCAATTGTGGTGTATGTGTGCTGAAGCGACCACAAAGAGAGCTTCCTATTTTGAGAGCTGCCCTGAAGGTTCAGTTTGGTCCTGGGTTAGTTTCAATCTGTTGGATCCCTAAGGCTCTCTGGTGTTCTAAAGGATATAGACTTGTTCATATGTGAATCTGGGGATGCAATCCAGTGTGAACCTCTTAGTGTACTGCACTCTTACTGAAGATTGAATATGAACCCCTAAGTCAGTCCAATAGCTGACCTATAGGGTCTTTACTATTTATCAATTAAAAAAGGGCATATCAAGCATCCTCGGTATCAAGGTACTATGAGTTTTTTAACCTTAATCATTTTGTCCTGAGAGGTTCACCAGTCCAGAGCTGTCTCCTTTGTACTTTCCCAATTATTTTACTAGAGTTTTTCGTTATTATTTATTTAATCATCTATCTTCCCTTCTAGTCAATATGGTATATGAGGGTGGGGGCATATTCATTTTTCACCACAATATCTCAGCATAATACCTGGAAAGTAGTAGGCATTCCATACATTGTTTAATGCTATGAATTAAAATGATGGTACCTGTACATTTTCGTAAGCACTTACAGTCTAGAAGCCTGATCAAAAAGCAGACCTGATACAGAATCATCTTCTTCATATACAAGTCAGTAACATCTGCACGGCTTTTATTTTGGCCTACGTGTCTCACTATATGATATTCTTCTAGCTACAAGAAGCACAGCTATTAGTAGATGAATACTTACTATTCTCCCTTCCTTTCCCCACCCTCAATGCCCAAATACTACACTTAATCTCCTAAGCAGTGCTTTAGATGTGACTATGACATTCTCAGAAAGATTTGTAAATGTTAAGAAACATTGAGGTAAAGTGGCATAGGGTATGATATTTTCGTGAACTCAGTTCTGCTGAAGAATCACTATTAGGAACATACTTTTAATAAAATACTTAGCAGTGATTATACACCTTCATTGTAGAATACTTGGGGGCAAAGGAGAGGGGAAACATATAGAAAATAATCACCCTTAATTGTGTCCAGTCTTTTTTCTAGGCATATAGTTTAAGTATGTTTCACACATGGTCGTACAAGCTATTTCCTGAAGTTCAAATTTAACAACATATGTTATTATTTTGTCATTAAATGTTTTACTACAATGTAACATTTTATACGACTGCTAAGTATTGTATTTTATGGATGTACTAAAATCATATTATTCACACTTATTGTTGGACATGAGAATTTTTACTCTTAGAAAATTAATCACGTATAAGCCCAGGCACAGTGGCTCACCCCAGTCAGCACTTTGGGAGGCTGAGGTGGGCAGATCACTTGAGGTCAGGAGTTCAAGACCAGCCTGGCCAACATGGTGAAACCACGTCCCTACTAAACATCCAAAAATTAGCTGGGCATAGTGGCAGGTGCCTGTAATCCCAGCCACTTGAGAGGCCGAGGCAGGAGACTCACTTGAACCTGGGAGGTGGAGGTCACAGTGAGCCGAGACGGTACCACTGCATTCCAGCCTGGGTGACAGAGCAAGATTCCATCTCAAAAAGATGGAGGCAGCCATGGTGGCTCAGGCCTGTAATCCCAACACTTTGGGAGGCCAAGGAGGGAAGATCCCTTGAGGCCAGGAGTTTGAGACCAGCCTGGGCAACACAGTGAGCCCATGACCATGTCTCTACAAAAAATTTAAAAATTGGCCAGGCATGGCAGCATGCACCTGTAGTCCCAGATACTCCAAAGGCCAAGGTGGGAGAATCGCTTGAACCCAGGAGTTTGAGGCTGCAGTGAGTTGAGATGGTGCCACTGCACAACAGCCTCTCCAAAGCGTGATAAGCCTATTCTTTAAAAAAAAAAAAACTTAAAAAAATTACTGTGCTCTACCTCTAATCTGATGCAATGATCCCACACCATTTTCTCCTTCTTTTCCTTCTCTTTTCCTTTTTTTTTTTTTTTTTTTTTGAGACGGAGTCTGGCTCTGTCGCCCAGGCTGGAGTGCAGTGGCGCGATCTCGGCTCACTGCAAGCTCCGCCTCCCGGGTTCACGCCATTCTCCTGCCTCAGCCTCCCGAGTAGCTGGGACTACAGGCGCCCACAACCGCGCCCGGCTAGTTTTTTGTATTTTTAGTAGAGACGGGGTTTCACCGTGGTCTCGATCTCCTGACCTTGTGATCCGCCCGCCTCGGCCTCCCAAAGTGCTGGGATTACAGGCGTGAGCCACCGCGCCCGGCTTTTTTTTGTTTTTCAACGAATACTACTCCCAATTCACCTAACTAAAATTTGATGTTAGTAAACTAGAACCTACTGGGCACAATATAAACTACACACACTGACGCAGTGGCTGTACTCCTCAAAGATGTATGCAGTTGGTGCTCAAATAATGTAGTTTTTTTTACTAGACTCTTTTTAAAATTTAACTTTAATTTTTGTTGAAGTAATGTTTGTATTTGGAATATAAAATAATTCTATAAGGCTTATAACAACAAACTATAGCCCTTGGCCCTACTCCTCTTCATACGGAGCCGGATTGAATTTTAAAAAGCATGCCTTCCAAAATTTCTCTCTCCATTTCTTAAGAAACATGCTTATACTACCATTTTCAGTTTTTATTTTTTTGAAACAAGTCTCGCTCTGTCGCCCAGGCTGCAGTGCAGTGGTGTGATCTCGGCTCACTGCAACCTCCACCTCCCGGGTTCAAGCGATTCTCGTGCCTCAGCCTCCCAAGTAGCTGGAATTACAGGTGCCTACCACCACGCCCAGCTAATTGTATTTTCAGTAGCGACGGGGTTTCGCCATGTTGGCCAGGCTAGTCTCGAACTGCTGACCTCAGGTGATTCGCCCAAAGTGCTGGGACTATAGGCGTGAGCCACCTTGCCCGGCTATTTTCAGTTTTGGATAGTATCTTTTGACATACATTGTTTCCCCTTTGAGACACCAGCTCTAGAGCCCTCTATTCCACTCCAAGCCGCCTGTGCTCTCTTGGCCTGCTTACAGATTCCACTCTGTTCAGGAAGAAGGAGGCCACGTTTATACAATTATTCTTCCTGGACACGAATACTCCTCTCTCCAGAGATCAGGAACTGCCTACAATCTTGTTAGGAAGCCCCACAGCACCTAAGGGTACGGATGTCGCCAAACGGTAGACGATTCTCTCCCTACTCACGTCTCCACTAGTGCAAGGCTGGCTTTCTTACCCTTAGAGAAATACAGAAATGACATCTTCTGCAGGCCAACGTCTAAACACCCAGGAGTGGGTTTTTCCACCCAACCGCAGCGCACGGAAAGCACCTAAGCCGACTTTGAGGCCGGGCGGAGCCTGGCGCTGCAGGAAGAGGCCACAGCCACAGCCCTACTGACGAGCCCGAGGGGTGAACTCCCCGGCCGGAGGCCCGAACCCTCAAACACCGGGAAGCGGAGGTGGGGCCGGCCGGGGGCACGGTCCACCGGTTCCCACCCCGGCGTGCAGGGATTCCGGGGGGCGCTGGCCGAGCCGTTTCCACAGCAACAGGCCGGGCGCGCGTCCCCGCGCGTGCGCAGCTCCTCGCCCGCCCCCGGGTGGGCGGAGAGGGGAACGGCGGGGCCGGGACGGCCGCCTCACGCCGCGCGGGAACCTGTGGGGGCCGGGGCTACAGGCCGCGGGGAACCGCGGGCGCCAGGGGCGCACCCAGCCCTCTGTCCCGGCCGGTAAATCTGGGGCAGCGCGCCGTAGGAGCTGCGGGCAGCCAGGCCCCTTCCTGCGTCCGCACCTGGCCCCGCGCGCCCCTCTCGGGCGTCCGGCCTCCGGCGTCCTGGCGGTTCGGGTGGCGGCGGTTCGGGCGGTCGCCTGGCTGCTCCTCGGGGCGGCGACCGGGCTCACGCGCGGGTCCCCCGCGGTCCTCGGCGCCGCGCGCTCTGACGCGGGTAAGGGGCGGGGCTGCGGAATGCGGGCGGGGCTTGGGGGCCGGAGCGTGGGGAGCGGTCGCGGCTCCCCGGCCTCTCCGCGGGTTGCGGGGATGTGGGGACCCGGCGCGGGACTTAGATCAGCAGGGCCAGCCGGAGGAGGTCAAACGCTAGAGCCGCGTGCCCTCCTCCCGCCCCCGGCGCTCCCGTGCGCTTTGCTCTGCGGCGGATCCCGGGTCTCCGGAGAGTGGGGCTCGGGCCCTGCGGTTCCCAGGCTGGACTGGCCGCCCTGTCACTAAGGTCCTGAGAAGGAAAGTCAGCCGTCAGGCGTCTTGGGACGCTCTTGGGTTGCACGAAGCTTCTGATCACCAAGGGGCCAGCAAGGCCTTAGCGCCCTGTGAGGCCTGAGAATGCCTAAACCGAATATAGGACTGCGTGCAAACTGCTAGTTGTTCGTGCAAGTAGTAGTTGGCAAACTGCTTGTACTACTGAGGCAGGCAAGTGTGGGAATAATTACAATAAAGTGGTAAGGTTTGACGGGAGGAAAGCACAAACCCGGCAAGTTTCTGCATCTGTAAAATGAGGATGTTTCTGTCATCCTTGGTACCATTTAGATCCATTTAGTATGTGTCAATCAGTGCATTTCTGCTTGTGTGTTTACATACTGGGTTTTCAAGTTTATCTAAACAAAGGATTATGAGGCCAAGAATTTCTTTTTTTTTTTTTTTTTTGAGATGGAGTCTCACTTGCCCAGGCTGGAGTGCAATGGCGCGATCTCGGCTCACTGCAACCTCCGCCTCCCAAGTTCAAGCAATTCTTCTGCCTCAACCTCGCAAGTAGCTGGGATTATTACAGGCGCCCGCCACCATGCCCAGCTAATTTTTTGTATTTTTAGTAGAGACGGGGTTTTGCCATATTGGTCAGGCTGGTCTTGAACTCCTGACCTCAGGAGTGAACCACCATGCCCGGCCAGAAGAATTTTTTTTTATTTTTTATTTTTTATTTTTTTTATTTTTTATTTTTTTTTGAGACGGAGTCTCACGCTGTTGCCCAGGCTGGAGTGCAGTGGCGCGATCTCGGCTCACTGCAAGCTCCGCCTCCCGGGTTCCCGCCATTCTCCTGCCTCAGCCTCCTGAGTAGCTGGGACTACAGGCGCCGCCACCACGCCCGGCTAGTTTTTTGTATTTTTTAGTAGAGACGGGGTTTCACTGTGGTCTCGATCTCCTGACCTTGTGATCCGCCCGCCTCGGCCTCCCAAAGTGCTGGGATTACAGGCTTGAGCCACCGCGCCCGGCCCAGAAGAATTTTTAAACAGTTGGATTTGGTCATCTCTAGAGGCTTCCAGCATTGGCATTTTATAATTAAAAAGGGGTCAAAATTAGCCGGGCCTGATGGCGTGGGCCTGTAATCCCAGCTACTCGGAAGGCTAAGGCAGGAGAATCGCTTGAACTAGGGAGGCCAAGGTTGCAGTGAGCTGAGATCGCGCCGTTGCACTCCAGTCTGGGTGACAGAAGGAGACTCTGTCTCAAAAAGAAAAAAAGTAAAAAGGAGTCATTTGGCCGGGTGCGGTGGCTCAAGCCTGTAATCCCAGCACTTTGGGAGGCCGAGACAGGTGGATCACGAGGTCAGGAGATCGAGACCATCCTGGCTAACACGGTGAAACCCCATCTCTACTAAAAAATACAAAAAACTAGCCGGGCGAGGCGGCGGGCGCCTGTAGTCCCAGCTACTCGGGAGGCTGAGGCAGGAGAATGGCGTGAACCCGGGAGGCGGAGCTTGCAGTGAGCTGAGATCGGGCCACTGCACTCCAGCCTGGGCCACAGAGTGAGACTCCGTCTCAAAAAAAAAAAAAAAAAAAAAAAAGGAGTCAATTTCCAGAGCCAGTTCACCACAACCAAAGTAATATTTAAGAGGAAAAATGTTGAAGGTAAATTCATATCCAACAAATTCTTTTTAAAAGTGGTACTTTTGCCTTTAAAGTCATAATATTCTAGTATTTGCTATACTATTTGTAAATTAGCCTTTCTCCGGTCCCAGTGATCAACTGCTGTCTGGTGTACATACCGATAGAATTTAAACCTGTTAATAATTTTTCTTCTAATTTAATTTATAGTTGGATAGTAGCCCTCACTTCCCACCCTACCCCTGTTAAAATTAAACATGATGAAGAAAAATCTGGATTTGTGCTGGGTACAGCGACTCACACCTGAAATTCTAACACATTGGGAGGCTGAGGTGGGAGGATTGCTTGAGGCCAAGAGTTCAAGACCAGCCTGGAAAACATAGCAAGACCCTGTCTCTACAAAAAAATGTAAAAGTAGCCAGGTGTGGTGGCGTGGGCCTGTAATCCTAGCTACTTGGGAGGCTGACGTAGGAGGATTGCTTGAGCCCAGAGGTTCAAGGCTGCAGTGAGCTGTGATCATGCCACTGCACTCCAGCTTGTGTGACAGAGTAAGGCCCTGTCTCTCTCTCTTTTTTTTTTTTTGAGACGGAGTCTCGCTCTGTCGCCAGGCTGGAGTGCGGTGGCGTGATATCGGCTCATTACAACCTCCACCTCCCAGGTTCACGCGATTCTTCTGCCTCAGCCTTCCAAGTAGCTGGGACTACAGGTGCACGCCACCACACCTGGCTAATTTTTTGTATTTTGGTAAAGACAGAGTTTCACCATGTTGGCCAGCATGGTCTCAAACTCTTGACCTTGTGATCTGTCCGCCTCGCCCTCCCAGAGTGCTGGGATTGCAGGCATAAGTCACGACGCCTGGGCTTTTTGTTCTTTTTTTTTTAAGAGGTAGAGCCTTGGCTGGGTGCTGTTGCCCACGCCTGTAATCCTGGAATTTGGGAGGCCGAGGCGGGCAGATCACTAGGTCAAGAGATCGAGACCAGCCTGGCTAACACGGTGAAACCCCATCTCTACTAAAAATACAAGAATTAGCTGGGCGTGATGGTGGGTGCCCGTAATCCCAGCTACTCCGGAGGCTGAAGCAGGAGAATCACTTGAACCCGGGAGGCAGAGGTTACAGTGAGCCGAGATCGTGCCACTGCACTGCAGCCTGGCGACAAAGTGAGACTCCGTCTCAAAAAAATAAATAAATAAAAATAAAAAAAGAACAAATAAAAATCTGGATTAGTATAAGATACATATGGGATTTGGGGATTTGTTTATTTGGGAAAAGATCATATGCTTCTCCAAAGCAAATACAATTTCTTTTTTGAGGGTTGGAGGTTTTCCAGTGAAATGTAACTAGACAAATTCTAAAAGAGCTGTAACACTAAAATCTCTTTCAATTTTAGTGTTGAAAGTGGAAGTATTTTAGGCTTTAAAAGTCAGGCATACCTTTCTTCTATTCGGTCAGGTAGTTAGTTGTATGACCCAGGGCCATTTACTAATGCTTTAGAAGTTCAAGTTTCCTCCTGCAAACAAATGGCAGTAATTTTGCTTATTTTGCTATAGATTGTGAAAGTTAAAACACATACGAAAGCATCAAGTAGAGGATCTCTAGCATGTTAGATGTTATTTTAAAAATGTTATTTTTTTCTATTCTTTTCTCATTCCTTCAGATAGTTTCACCTTCGCATCGTTTTTCTTAATATATCTTTTCAGAAATACATCGAATGGATTCAGCAATATGCAACGATAATAACAGGATTATGCAAATAATATATAGTAATATATAGTTTTCTGTGTGTGTGTGTGTTTTGTTGGTTTTGTTTTGTTTTGTTTTGAGACAAGGTCTGGCTTTGTCACCCAGGCTGGAGTGAAGTGGTACAGTCTTTGCTCACTGCAGCCTCCCTCTGCCTCCTGGCCTTAAGCCATCCTCCCACCTAAGCCTCCTAAGTAGCTAATTTTTGTATTTTTCTTAATGGAGATGGAGTCTTGCTATGTTGTCCAGGCTTGTGTGTTTTTTAAATGTTCTTCCCACAGATTTACAGCTTTTAAAATGGGACAAAGTTCCATAGCCAATGCCTGGCAGAGTTGCTGGTCAATAGTAACTGAATTTTGAGTTTTAAGATGCTTACATTGAGTAATAGTTTTCTTTTTTTGTATTTAGAGACAAGGTCTCTCTCTGTCACCCAGGCTTGAGTGCAGTGGTGTAATCGTAGCTCACTGCAGTCCCCATCCCGTGGGTTCAAGCAATCCTCCCACCTCAGGTGCAAGCTGGCACACCTGGCTCTGAGTAACAGCTTGAATGTCTGGAGTCTGGATGAAGTCAGTGTACTGAGATTTCTGGTTATTCTAAGTTTACAGTGGAACCCATTGAAGCTTTAAGTGCCTCCAGCTTTCTTTCTTTCTTTCTTTTTTTTTTTTTAAACCTTCCAGCATCTCCACAAGGCATAAATGTACCATTTTCCTGGTTTTGTAGGCATGGATGTTAGAATATAGAAGTTGCCAGTATGTATCTATCTGATAACACAGTTTCGGTGAACTAGGGCCAAAATGGAGATTTCCTGGCTCTTTAGCCGTCCTGTTCCTTTTTGGCATCTTGGGATCACCTGAATAAAGTAATATTAATAACAAACACTTATATAGAACACTTAATATGTATTCTTACTGCTGTTCTAAGTGCTTCTACATATATATTAAATTCTTATGACAGCTAGTAGAGAGATAAACTATCTTGCCCAAAGTTGACACGGCTATTAAGTTGCAGACTGGGATTTGAAATCAGGCAATCTAACTTCAGAGTCATTGTTCTTAACCACAGTGCTATATTGCAAGTATATATATCTCAAATTGCTTAAATTTTAGAAGTTTTTTTTTAGGTTGGTTAGATTTTCTAGGCAAGTAAAGCCTACTAAAATAACTCTTTTCTAATTATTTAAATATTATTTTATTCAGTGCTTTTATTTTTTTAAAAATATCTTTTGGCTCTTATAGGCACAAGGGCCATGTGTTCTGAAATTATTTTGAGGCAAGAAGTTTTGAAAGATGGTTTCCACAGGTAAGTTGCCCATTGATTTCTATTTCTGTTAAAATAATGTCTCATATAATTGAGAGCAAAAAATTGATGGTTGAAATATGTATAAGTTGGCCGGGCGCGGTGGCTCAAGCCTGTAATCCCAGCACTTTGGGAGGCCGAGACGGGCGGATCATGAGGTCAGGAGATCGAGACCATCTTGGCTGACACGGTGAAACCCCGTCTCTACTAAAAAATACAAAAAACTAGCCGGGCGAGGTGGCGGGCGCCTGTAGTCCCAGATACTCGGGAGGCTGAGGCAGGAGAATGGCGTGAACCCGGGATGTGGAGCTTGCAGTGAGCCGAGATCTGGCCACTGCACTCTAGCCTGGGCGGCAGAGCAAGACTCCGTCTCAAAAAAAAAAAAAAAAAAAAAAAAAAAAGAAATATGTATAAGTTGAAAAATCAGGCCAGATGCGGTGGCTCTCATCTGTAATCCCAACACTTTGGGAGGCGGAGGTGGGCAGATCACAAGGTCAGGAGTTCGAGACCAGCCTGGCCAACATAGTGAAACCCTGTCTCTACTAAAAATACAAAAATTAGTTGGGCATGGTGGTGCACACACCTGTAGTCCCAGCTACTCCGGAGGCTGAGGCAGGAGAATCGCTTGAACCTAGGAGGTGGAGGTTGTGGTGAACTGAAATCATGCCACTGTACTCCATCCTGGGCAACAGAGCAAGACTCTGTCTCAAAAAGAAAAGAGAAAAATCACTTGCTTCCTCACAGTTACTCAGTGATGGCATATGTGGTTCACACTTTGAAATAATGATTAATTGAGTGGAGCAAAGAAGAAAACAAATATGTATTGTTTACCACGTACAATTGTCCCTTGGTATCTGAGGGGATTGGTTCCTCCTGGACCTCCCCCGAGGACACCAAAATCCTCAGATGCTTAAGTACCCTATATCAAATAGCATAGTATTTGTTTTTTTTTTTTTTTGCGACGGAGTCTCGCTCTGTCGCCCAGGCTGGAGTACAGTGGCCGGATCTCAGCTCACTGCAAGCTCCGCCTCCCGGGTTCCCGCCATTCTCCTGCCTCAGCCTCCCGAGTAGCTGGGACTACAGGCGCGCGCCACCTCGCCCGGCTAGTTTTTTGTATTTTTTAGTAGAGACGGGGTTTCACGGTGTTAGCCAGGATGGTCTCGATCTCCTGACCTCGTGATCCACCCGTCTCGGCCTCCCAAAGTGCTGGGATTACAGGCTTGAGCCACCGCACCCGGCCTCAAATAGCATAGTATTTGTATAGAACCTACACACACTGTCTCATATACAGTATATTTTTATATATACAACCAGTGCCTATATATACAATATTCCATTTAATCTTCACAATGGCATGAGATAGATGATTTTTTCTTATTTTTCAGATGAGGGAGGTAGAGCTCAAAGAATTTAAATAATTTGGTAGAAATTAGGGTGATAGAGCTCTGACTCAGATTTAGTACTAGTATACTTCAAAGCCATCTCAAGTACTATGATACACTACTCTAAGTCACTATTTCTTACTACTGTTGATTCTAAATGACCGAGCTGTTTCCAAAAAAGAAACTATCTTCAAAAGATGAATATTTGCCTATATTGAAGATCTTTAAAAGTCTGGCAAAAGGGTGTGGAAACCATTTCTCAAGAAAACTTCCCCAAACTGAAGCTTCTCAAGGTGATTATTTTGAAATGATTCTCAGATACTTGATATATAAATTCTGATTCATTTATTTTTTTTTAAAATTTTTTTTATGCCGGGTGCAGTGGCTCACGCCTGTAATCCCAGCACTTTGGGAGGCCGAGGCCGGCAGATCACGAGATCGGGAGTTCAAGACCAACGTGGCCAACATGGTGAAACCCCATCTCTACTAAAAATACAAAACATTAGCCGAGTGTGGTGGCAGGCGCCTGTAATCCCAGCTACTCAGGAGGCTGAGGCAGGAGAATCACTTGAACCTGGGAGGCAGAGGTTGCCGTGAGCCGAGATTGTGCCACTGCACAGAGTGAGACTCTGTCTCAAAAAAAAAAAAAGGGGGAAGGGTATAGTTATTTCACCATGAAGTATATTTGTGTTAGGTTTTTTGTAGATAGCTTTTTATGAGTTGAGGACTTTCTCTTAAGTTTCTGGTTTCCTGAGAGGTTTTTTTTTTTTTTTTTTCCCCATGATTGGGTGTTAAATTTTGTCAGATATTTTTCTTCCTCTGTTTTGAGAGGATCATACAATTCTTATATTTTATTCTGTTAATATGATGAAGTACATTGATGTTTCCAATAGTGAACCTACTCCTTGGTCATGCGATGTTATCTTCTTGAAATAGATCTGGATTTGTTTTGCTAATAACTTGCTAGGTATTTTCACTTGTATGTTCACGAAGGCTATTGGCCCATGACTCTGTTGTGATGCCTTATTCTGGTTTCGCTGTCAGGGCATTGCTGGCCTTATCGATTGGGAAACATTTTCTTCTTCTCTAGTTTCTGCTTGTGTAGCATTGGTATTATTTATTCCTTTAATGTTTAATAGAATTTAACAATGACTATGTGAAGCTCTGTTTTTGGGTGTGTATGCTACATTTAGGATTGTTCTTGATGCTCTTGATATGTTCTTGATGAACTGGATGAGTTGACCCCTTTATCTTTGTGTAATGTCTTTCTTTATGACTGACAATATTCCTTGTTCTGGAGTCTCCTTATTCTACTATTAATATAGCCATCCCATATTTATTATCATATTTGCATATCTTTTTTATCCTTTTACTTGTATCGTCTTTATCGTCAGTGTGTTTTCTGTAGATAGCATATAGTTAAGGGTGGCCTTTTTTTTCTTTCCAAATCCCAAGAGCCTGTGAAAGGAGTTGCTGTTTTATCCATCTGTCAGTCTCTGCATTCTAACTGGAGTGATTAGACCATTTATTTTTAATGTAAATATTAATATGGTTGGTTTGGTTTAAATATATCTAGCTACTTTTTTTTCTATTTGTTTTTCTCTTTGTTGCATCTAGTCTTCTTTTTTTATTGCCTTATTTTGGATACATTGGGTATTTATTAAGCATTCTGTTTTATCTCAAGTGTTGGCTAATTAGCCATCTCTCTCTGGTTTTAATTTGCTGCTTTAGGGTTTACAATGTGCAATCGTTACCTATCACAGTCTACCTTCAAATAATTTTATTCCATGTCACAGATACTGTTTTATCAGGACAGTTTCATCTCCTTCTCTTTTCTATGCTGTTGTTATCACATATTTTACTTTATTTTTTACTTGCGTTATGAGCCCCACAATATATTGTTATTGGTTTTTCTTTAAGCAGTCACTTTTTACATTATTTATTTTAATTGTGATAAAATACCCATAACATAAAATTGACAATTTTAACTTTTTTTATTTTTTATTTTATTTATTTATTTATTTATTTATTTATTTATTTATTTATTTTTTTGAGACGGAGTCTTGCTCTGTGCCCCAGGCTGGAGGCAGTGGCGCGATCTCCGCTCACTGCAAGCTCCGCCTCCCGGGTCTACGCCATTCTCCTGCCTCAGCCTCCCGAGTAGCTGGGACTACAGGCGCCGCCACCACGCCTGGCTAGTTTTTTGTATTTTTTAGTAGAGACGGAGTTTCACGGTGTTAGCCAGGATGGTCTCGATCTCCTGACCTTGTGATCCGCCCGCCTCGGCCTCCCAAAGTGCTGGGATTACAGGCTTGAGCCACCGCGCCCGGCCTATTTTTTATTTTTTGAGATGGAGTCTCGCTCTGTCGCCCAGGCTGGAGTGCAGTGGCGGCGATCTCGGCTCACTGCAACCTCTGACTCCCGCGTTCAAGCGATTCTCCTGCCTCAGCCTCCGGATTACAGGCACATGCCAGCACGCCTAGATAATTTTTGTGGGACAGGGTTTCACCATGTTGGCCAGGATGGTCTCCATCTCCTGACCACATGATCCGCCTGCTTCAGCCTCCCAAAGTACTGGGATTACAGGCGTGAGCCACCACGCCCAGCCTAATTTTAACTATTTTTAAGTGTACAATTCAGTGGCATCAAGTACATTCACATTATTGTGCTACCATCACCACCATTCATTTGCAGAACTCTTTATTTTGTACAACTGAAATTCTTTGCCTATTAAGCAATAACTACTCATTTCTCCTTCTCCCAGCTCCTGGCAACCAGCATTCTTGTCGCTGTGAATTTGACTCCTCTGGGTACCTCATATAAGTAGAATCATATAATATTTGTGACTAGCTTATTTCACTGAGCATAATGTTCTCACCGTTGCTTCGTGTTTTAGGGTATGGCAGAGTTTCCCTTCTTTTTAAAGCTGAATAAATTCCATTGTATGTTGAGACCACATTCTGCTTGTCCGTTCATTGTTGACGGGCACTTTGGTGGCTCCTGCCTTTTGGCTGTTGCCTCTTAAATGCCTGCTTCATGTACCCAGAAGTGGAATTGCTGGATCATGTGATAATTCTGTGTTTTTGAAAAATTGTCATAGAGTTTCCCATAGTGGCCACATCATTTTACATTCCCACCAGCAATGCTCAAGGGCTCCAATTTGTCTAGCAATCATATTTGAAAGCAATTAAAACATGAGAAAAAAGTATTTTATATTCCCCCACATAGTTACCATTTCAGATCTCTTCTTTCTTATAGATTTATGTTTCTTTTTTTTTTTTTTTTTTTTTTTTTGAGACGGAGTCTCACGCTGTTGCCCAGGCTGGAGTGCAGTGGCGCGATCTCGGCTCACTGCAAGCTCCGCCTCCCGGGTTCCCGCCATTCTCCTGCCTCAGCCTCCTGAGTAGCTGGGACTACAGGCGCCGCCACCACGCCCGGCTGATTTTTTGTATTTTTAGTAGAGACGGGGTTTCACTGTGGTCTCGATCTCCTGACCTTGTGATCCGCCCGCCTCGGCCTCCCAAAGTGCTGGGATTACAGGCTTGAGCCACCGCGCCCGGCCTAGATTTATGTTTCTATCTAGTATCATTTACTATCTGTCATTTCTTGCAGTGACAAATTCTCTTAGTTTTGTTTGTCTGAATCTTTATTTTGCCTTTATTTTTGGAAGATTTTCCTCCTGGATATAAAATTCTAGATTGACAGCCGCTTTTCTTTTACTACTTTAAATAAGTTGCTCCATTATCTTCTAGCTTATTCTTATCTTTGTTAATCTCTACATAATTATTGATAACTTTTAAGATTATTTCCCATTGACTGGATAATAATATGCCTTGATGTGATTTTCTTTGTATTTATCCTGCTTGGAGTTGGTTGGGCTTCTTGGATTTGTAGACTTATAATTTTTATGAAATTCAGAAAGTGTTCAGCCATTATATCTTCATTTTTTTTTTCTGTTACATTCTCTTCTCTATTTTAGGAACTCCAAATATATGTATACTAGACTACTTGATATTGTTTAAAGGCCTTGGAGGCTGTTCTTTTTTTCTCCCTGGTCTTTTTTCTTCTCTGTGCTTCAGCGTGGATAGTTTCTGTTGCTCTGTCTCCAAGTCACTGGTCTTTTCTTCTTCAGCATCTAATGGCTTTTAATTACGTCTGAGTAAGTTTTTATTTCAGAAATTATATTCTTCATCTCTTAAAGTTGCATTTAGCTTTTTAAAAAAATATATCTTCTCTCTCTATCTCTCTTTTTTTTTTTTTGAGACAGGGTCTTGTCTCTGTCCCCCAAGCTGGAACATAGTGGTGCTATCAGAGCTCACTGCAGCCTTGACCTCCTGGGCTCAAAAGATTCTCCTACCACACCCTCCCTTATAGTTGGGACTATAGGCACACATCACCACGCCTGGCTAATTTTTAAATTTTTTTTAGTGACGGGTCTCTCCATACTGCTTAGGCTGGTCTCAAACTCCTGGCTTCAAACAATCCTCCTGCATCAGCTTCCCAAAGTGCTGGGATTACAGGCATGAGCCACCATCCTCAGCCTATTTTTTTCTTTTTTCTTTTTTTTAGATGGGGATTTGCTCTGTCACCCAGGCTGGAGTACAGGGGCATGATCTTGGTTCACTGCACCCTCCACCTCCCAGGCTCAAGAGATTCTCCTGCCTCAGCCTCCTGAGTAGCTGGACCACAGGCATGTGCCACCATGCCCGGCTAATTTTTGTATTTTTGATAGAGACCGAGTCTCGCCATGTTACCCAGGCTGGTCTCGAACTCCTGAGATCAGGCAGTACACCTGCCTCAGCCTTCCAAAGTGCTAGGATTATAGGCATGAACCACCATGCCTGCCTTGTGGCCTATTTTTTTCTATGTAAATATCCAGTTGTTTCAGTACCATTTGTTGAAAAGACTATCCTTTCCCCATTAAATTACGTTGGTACCTTTATTGAAAATTGTGTGAGTGTTACTGGATTCCATTCCTTTCCATTGATCTTTGTCTATTTTTACAATAATGCTATAGTGGCTTATGACATGAATTATGAAAGATCTAATGGATGATTCTGACGTGTTATAAATATTTCATTTGACTTTATAATCTACTTTTGGAAAATGAATTTTGAAATACAGTGTTTTCACTAATAGGAATACAGTGTTATGTTATCTCATTTAACAGTTGAATGAAGAGATTTACTTTAAATGTACTTGTCTTACAGAGACCTTTTAATCAAAGTGAAGTTTGGAGAAAGCATTGAGGACTTACAGACCTGCCGACTCTTAATTAAACAGGACATTCCTGCAGGACTTTTTGTGGATCCATATGAGTTGGCTTCATTACGAGAGAGAAACATAACAGAGGTACAGTGATTAGGGGATTTTTTGGGAGAGAAATTAATTTAGGGGTGCTATAGTTTGGACTAAGAAAAAATAGCAGGTTTCCTTTTCATTTTGTTAAAGTGTGTAAAGTGACATTTTTAGAGATAGAATGGACATAGTCTTTGTCAAGTGAGTGACTCTTGTCAGGAATAAGCCAACTAAACTGAGCTAGTTAAGTGCTTTTTAGCAAGATGGTTCACAGCTCAGTGACTAAGAAAATTATCTGTGTGTATGTGTATGTCTTGAGAAAATTAATGATTAGTAAATAGTGCCTCAACAGTAACTTTGTTAATGAGAATGACATATACCCCAACATCTGGGTAAGTGTCGCATCATTGCATTCCAGCCTGGGCGTCAGAATGAGATTTTGTCTCAAAAAACAAAAAAACAAACAAACAAAAAAAACTGAGGCACAACGAGGCCAAGTAACTTATCCAAAATCATATAGGTAAATGGAAGAGCCAATAAATGGATCCAGGATTGTCTGGTTGCAATATTGTTGCCCTTGCTGGGCCTAAATCTTACCCCTTAGTTAGAAGAGTTTCCTTGACTTTGATAAGAATTCCTTGGGGGCACGTTTGTACAGATTATTGCCTTCCTGGGAAATCCTGATTCATTATGTCTAGATTGGACCCGAAAATCTGGTTTGAGGAACCCAGATGATTTCTTTTTTTTTTTTTAATTATTGTGGGTACGTAGTAGGTATATGTAACCCAGGTGATTTCTGTTAAGAAATTTTGGGAGACACTGTCTTAGTTGATAAGATTATAATCTACTTATAATTTTTAAAACTGTAAAATAGATGCATCTATAGTTATTCATTTTTTTTTTTTTTTTTTGAGACGGAGTCTCGCTGTGTCTCCCAGGCTGGAGTGCAGTGGCGTGATCTCGGCTCACTGCAAGCTCCGCCTCCCGGGTTCACGCCATTCTCCCGCCTCAGCCTCCCAAGTAGCTGAGACTACAGGCGCCCGCCACCACGCCCGGCTAGTTTTTTGTATTTTTAGTAGAGACGGGGTTTCACCATGTTAGCCAGGATAGTCTCGATCTCCTGACCTCGTGATCCACCCGCCTCGGCCTCCCAAAGTGCTGGGATTACAGGCTTGAGCCACCGCGCCCGGCCTATAGTTATTCATGATGGCAGTTTGTTTATTTCTAATCGTGGTTTAGGCCAGTTTCTTTACCCGTTTATTGTATTTTAATTTTTTTTGAATAAGTAATTGCATTCTCAAGGGTTCATTGAGTAGATATAGAAAGGTATGCAATGATAGCATTCTACCTATGTCAACCCCAATCACCAAGTGTGTTCTCAGTTTTTTGTGTATGTATCACAGTTCACATACACATACAATTATGGAAGAACCTCATTTTTTAAAATTTAATTAATTTTTTTTTTTTTTTTGAGACAGTGTCTCTGTTGCCTAGGCTGGAGTGTATTGGCACAATCTCGGCTCACTGCAACCTCTGCCTCCCAGGTTCGAGTGCTCCTGCGTCAGCCTCCCAAGTAGCTAGGATTACAGGTGCATGCCACCATGCCCGGCTAATTTTTGTATTTTTAGTAGAGTGGGGGTTTCACCATGTTGGCCTGGCTGATCTCGATCTCCCGACCTCAGGTGATCCGCTCGCCTTGGCCTCCCAAAGTGCTGGGATTATAGGCGTGAGCCACCAGCCAGAAGGATCTCATTTATTTCTTTTCTTCAATGAATTATGAATTCTAAGTGAGGCTTTTCAAATTTAAAATAATGGATTTCAAATTTCAACACAGTTTTTGGCTTGTAAGGACATGGGTTGGAATCATATTTAAATCTACTTAATAAAATCACTTACTGTGTTCTAAGAAAATGGAAGTTTTTTGGATGGGGATTACCCAAAAAGTCGTACCTTTGGATGGGGATGAGATTTGGATGTTTGAAGGTTGACTGTTACAAGGGTACAGGTAGAGAGTGCCATTATAGATTGATTAACAAGTTTATCTTGGTCTTGATTTTCTGCTTTCTAATCTTCTAATCCCTAATTATAAGCCTTGTAAGTGTAGGTACTTCTTTATTTTGGAAACTTCTAGAAAAATAGATGTTACATTTGTGACATTTAAATATATGGAATTTGATGCCTGACATATTAGATGCTGCTTGCTTCTGCCTAGTTGAGATTGTGGCCCAATTCCTTGTACAGAAAAACTTTGTTATGCTAAGTATTATTATATAATAAGTGTAACTGGGTAGAAGGAACTTATATGTAGGGACTGACTGATGCTTGTATACCTGGATTAATGTCTTGACTCTGCTCCAGGAAATAAAATTTTTGGCTGCAGCAAATGGAACTGTGGGCCCAAACTAAATGAGTGATGTGCCAGCAAAATGCTTTGTAAGGAGCTTGTGATGGTTTGTGAATAATTTGAAAATAAATGCAAGCCTTAAGTAGGTTCACCAAGGATAAGGCAGATCAAATAAACCTCATTTCACTTTTTTAGGTAGGGTTATTAAATGTATTTTTTCATCAAAATATCTTAGATTCTTTGAAAGCAGTATAATATTAGATTAAAACATATAAAATTGCTGTTTTATAGGTCAAAATGGAAACACTTTCTGAAACCGTAAGTTTTACTCAAAGTATGTAGTATTAAGGCTTATGCTTAATAAGTGGACAAGTGGAGAACAGGTAACAGATTTAGTCTCTTACTTGAAACAAGCAAGAAATAAACAAAATATATGAAATAATGGGAAAAGTCATTGGGTATCAGGCAATGAAGGGCAGAGATATCCAAGAGAAGGGAAATAAGTGAGGTGAGCCCTGCTGTCATCCAGCTTATTTCCTTGAGAATGTTTTCAGGCTTAATGCAGGGAGGAGAAACTCAAGCAGAGCCTAGTGGACTTTTTGAGTTGAGGAGGTAAAGTTGAGATTCTGGGCAGACAGAGGTCACTGGAATTCACACGACAGTGTACCAGAGAGGAGAGAGCTTCATGGAGGCAGAACTCCAGAAATAACAGAAAGTTCCTTTCAAGTATGTAGCTGAGTATTTTTCAGTGTTTATATGTTAGGAAACTACCTGATGCCAGGGAAAGAACCATCTAACAAAATGAGCGGTAACAGTGTGTCTCTGTTGAGTAACTGCACTCACACAGGGACAGGAGTAGTACCTCGTCCCAACAACCAAACTGAGAAAAGCCTTATAATTTCTTGAACAACGGATAAACAGAGAACTTTTACTCAGTAGCAGGGAATACTTAGCCGCAAACTGAACGTTGCTTTAGTCCTGCATAACAAATCTTAAAAGCAAAACCTTAAAAAAGAAATCAAACTGTTTCTAAGTAAACTATCTGCATTGCAAACAAAGCTCAAGAATATGTATAGGAATACAGACGTATCCAGCAAGATCAAATCAGCAATTTCTTAACTCTAATAAAAAATTAGCAGCTAAGCAAGGATGTGGGGGAAAAAAATGACCTATAATGAGGAGGTGACTCAATCAGTTAAAACCAATCTAGAATTGCCCCAGATGTTAGAATTAACAGGCCATAGACCGGGGTTGGTGGTTCACGCCTATAATCCCAGCACTTTGGGAGGCTGAGGCAGGTGGATCACTTGAGGTCAGGAGTTCGAGACCAGCCTGGCCAACATGGTGAAACCCCGTCTCTACTAAAAATACAAAAAATTAGCCAGGCGTGGTGGTGGGCACCACCAGCTACTTGGTGGCCGAGGCAGGAGAATCACTTGCATCCCAGAGGCGGAGGTTGCAGTGAGTTGAGATCGCGCCATTGTACTCCAGCCTGGGCAACAAGAGCGAAACTGCAACTCCGTCTAAAAAAAAAAAGAATTAACAGGCCATTAAAACAGTTACTGTAACTGCATCCCATGTGTTCAGAATTTAACTGGAAACGTGGAAGATATTTTTAAAAGTCAGCATTGAACTTCTAAAGATTAAGACTGCAGTGTGTGAGATGAAAAATACACTGAATGAGTTAGTGGCAGATCAAATATTGCAGAAGAAAAGATGAATGAACTTGAAGATACTGCAATAGAAACTATCAAAAATGTAAAACAGATAAGAAACAAATTTCCAAGGTGAACAGAGCATTAATGAACTGTGTAACAACTAAGTGGCTTGCCCTACATGTCACTGGAGTCCCCAAAGGGTGAAGTGAGAGGCAGAGATGGAAAAAATATTTGAAGAAAATTTGACTGAAAACTTTCTGAATGTAATGAAAACTATAAACTCAAATATGAAAGATGCTGAAGTACAAGAACATGAAGAAAACTATATAAAGGTACATGATAATCAAATAGCTTAAAACAATGATAAAGAAAATGTTTAAAGTAGAGAAAAAAAGATGTTACACACAGAGGAGCGAAGATGATGACAGGTGGTAACTACAGGGTAAATATGTAAGACTTCCTTTTTTTTTTTTTTACTATTTCAATCTCTTTACAAGATAATTGACAAAAATAATAACAATGTAGCATAGCATTGATACCATATGTAAAAGTAAGATGTGTGACAGAAATATCACAGACGGCTGGGCTCAGTGACTCATTCATACCTGTAATCCAAGCACTTTGGGAGACCGAGGTAGGAAGATTGCTTGAGGCCAAGGAGTTTGAACCAACCCAGGCAACGCAGTGAGAATCTCTACCAAAAAGTTTAAAAATTAGTTAACTGTCAGGCGTGGTGGCTCACGTCTGTAATCCCAACACTTTGGGAGGCCAACGCGGGAGGATCATGAGGTCAGGAGTTCGAGACCAGCCTGGCCAACATGGTGAAACCTCATCTCTACTAAAAATACAAAAAATTAGCTGGGCATGGTGGCGTATGTCTATAGTCTCAGCTACTTGGGAGGCTGAGGTGTAAGGGTTGCTTGAGCCTGGATGGTTGAGACTTCAGTGAGCTGTGATCACGCCACTGCTCTCCAGCCAGGGTGACAGAGTGAGATCTTGTCTTGAAAAAAGAAGAGGCTAGGTACGGTGGCTCATGCCTATTATCCCAGCTCTTTGGGAGGATAAGGCAGGAGAATCGCTTGAGCCCAGGAGATCAAGGCTGCAGTGCACCATGATTGTGCCACTGCACTCCAGCCTGGGTGACAGAGTGAGACTCCGTCTCAAAAAATAAGATAGTAGGTGCATATAAAGCATAGTGAGATAAGGCTGCCAAAAAGCTAATGCAAGTTTTGCCTAAAGAAGATAATACTGCTACTGTACTCTATGAGTATTTCAAAGGCAGCTAATATGAGGAATGATTTGGAAACCATGTCATGAGAACCCAGGAGAACTGTGAACATTTCCCTTGTCAGGAGAAGACTTCGTGGCAGCAGCTATGGTTGCCTTCTGATGATTGAAGGATCCCTAGTGGAATAAGGAATGAATTTATTGCAGACATTGTAAGCAAGAACAACTGATAAATGTTACAGGCTAGTACATAAAGTTTCTACTCATGAAAAAGAAATAACCTTATAACGGTAGATAGATCGTGATGACTCATAATAACGAGCTTCCTTCCAGTCACTGGAAGTACTCAAGCAGTGGCGGTATACCTGAAAAATACCTTTGTTGGTACAGTGGTTTAATTTTATTACTTCTAAGGTCCCCTATGACTCATGAGATGATACAATTCCTTGACTTTTGCCAAGGAGTTCTGTTCCTGCTGTGATTAACTGAAAAGGAACAACATGAAAAGAAAACATAGCACTTGGTGTCACTGTCAGAGGACAGTTAGGATGCTTGATGTGATGGGAAGGAGTTAATGCTGTTTGTTTCTTTAAGTTATGCCCAGGTTTTGCATGGACAATCTAAAGAGAAGTTATGTGTGTGTGTACATCCATACATGTACACATAGGTCATGTGTATAATGCCTGTGTGTGTATGTGGATATATGTGTGTGTGTACATAAATATGTATGCGTGGATATATATATGTGTGTAATAAATAAATATACATGTTATAACTCAGGCCTAATTTCTGCCATGTGTACACTTTCACTTTTGGTGAATACTATACTTTTCTATAAAATAGTTTTTACCATATTATTTTAAGAAATCATTTACTATTTTTTCCATTAACTTTTTATACCCTCTCTAGAAAGAGTGCTGGCCTTTGCTTTGACTTCCTGACCGCAGTGCTCATACTCACTGCCCTCACTTGCTTCTCTGAAGAACAGGAAATTGTCAGAATGATACCAGTCATTTTAACTCAATACAGGTTTTACCCTTTGTCATCGTTTTTGTGCTTATTGAATAATGCTATATTCACAAAATTTCTCAGTTCTTAGGTACCTGTCTTGTCACCTAAACACAGACTAATAAGAAAATATTACAGGAATAATTTTTATTATGGGGAAATTTGGTACCCTAGAATATAATTCCCCCAGTTTATTTTTAGTAAGCAAACTTTTATTAACCATAAATTGTCTTCTGTTTCTCTCCTTAAAATTGAGGATGGAAGGGGAATGGAAATTGTTTGTAAAGGGGGCAAACTTGACACTGCTCTGTGTGTCTGAATATAGTCTTCCAGTTTTCACTTTTAAAAAATCTTCCTCATTCATTTCTTCTTGATTAATATTTATTTTCTTTTTGAACAGGCAGTGATGGTTTCAGAAAATTTTGATATAGAGGCCCCTAACTATTTGTCCAAGGAATCTGAAGTTCTCATTTATGCCAGACAAGATTCACAGTGCGTTGACTGTTTTCAAGCCTTTTTGCCTGTGCACTACCGCTATCATCGGCCACACAGTCACGATGGAGAAACCTCGATTGTGGTCAATCACCCAGATTTGTTGATGTTTTGTGACCAAGGTGAGGGCTGCAGGTGTTTTCTAAGGGTCAGAAAATAAGAATAAAGGTATGGTGGCAAGTTCTCCTTCTGCTAGGGTGGCTGGCAAAGTTCTATTTCTTGACCTAAGTGGTAGTTAGAAGGGTATTTGCCTTATAATAATTCACTAAACTATGTATTTGAGTAGATTTTTATGTGTGTGCTTTATTTTACAATCAAAAAGTTAAAAAGAAACATGCATTTGCCATCCCTGTCCTTGACACCGCTGCCCCAACTGTCATCTCCTTCCCTCTACGACTAACCCACCATCCTGACTTTCAAATACTTACTTATGTTTCTTTATATGTTTATCATCCAGATGGGCATTCCAAGATACTATACCAAGACTAAGGTCTTGTCCATTTATAAAAATCTACTATTTCCCTCAAGTCTCTTAATTTACAGGTTTCTCTCTATCCCTTTCCTTTCTTCCAAACTGAACTGTTGAAAGAACCTGGGCCATTTGACCTGCAGAGTTGGTCGTAGCTGGGGTTTTGCTAATTGTACTCCTACTTCTTTACTTACTGGAAATTGGCAGCTGGCTCCAGAGGAATGATCAGATTCAGGTTTGATTCCTTTGACAAAACTATAGGTAGTGCTGTGTTCTCTTCTCAGTAGCCATTTAATCTTAGTAGGCATGTACATGTGTTTATTTTTGCAGCCTTTGGTCCACATTGCCCCTCTGTTGCTTTTTGTTTCTTCGTACCAGTCTTGCAGGACTCTGTGGCTTTTGATGTTTTGTTTCCACTTGCATGTATTTTTTTTTTTTTTTTTTTTTGAGACGGAGTCTTGCTCTATCCCCCAGGCTGGAGCGCAGTGGCCGGATCTCAGCTCACTGCAAGCTCCGCTTCCCGGGTTCAGGCCATTCTCCTGCCTCAGCCTCCCGAGTAGCTGGGACTACAGGCGCCCGCCGCCTCACCCGGCTAGTTTTTTGTATTTTTTAGTAGAGACGGGGTTTCACCGTTTTAGCCAGGATGGTCTCGATCTCATGACCTCGTGATCCGCCTGTCTCGGCCTCCCAAAGTGCTAGGATTACAGGCTTGAGCCACCACGCCCGGCCCACTTGCATGTATTTTGATGTTTGGGAAGATACTTTATCACCTAGTTTTGTTGTAAATTTTGTCTGTGAGTTTTTTATTTTGCTGCATGATTGTTGTTTCTGTTTTTATGTGAGAATTTGGGTAAATTGAAAAATTAGCTGGGCGAGGTAGCTCACAATCCCAGCACTTTGGGAGGCTGAGGCGGGTGGATCAGAGGTTAGGAGTTTGAGACCTGCCTGACCAACATGGTGAAACCCCATCTCTACTAATCTCTACTAAAAATACAAAAAATTAGCTGGGCATGGTGGCCTGTAATCCCAGCTACTTGGGAGGCTGAGGAAGGAAAATCACTTGAACCCAGGAGGCGGAGGTTGCAGTGAGCCAGGATCGCACCAGTGCACTCTAGCCTTTGCAGTCTTCTCAAGAACGTTTTCTTTCTTCCTTTTTTTTTTTTGAGGCAGAGTCTCGCTCTGTTTCCCAGGCTGAAGTGCAGTGGCGTGATCTTGGCTCACCACAATCGCCACCTCTCCTGCCTCAGCCTCCTGAGTAGCTGGGACTACAGGTGTGTGCCACCACGCCCAGCTAATTTTTGTATTTTTGGTAGAGATGAGGTTTCACTGTGTTGGCCAGGCTGGTCTCGAACTCCTGACCTCGTGATCCGCCCACCTTGGCCTCCCAAAGTGCTGGGATTACAGGCGTGAGCCACCGCACCCGGCCAGATGTTTTCTTTAGTGTAAGAAGTTCCTTTCAGTTTTCGGTTCTTTGTGTCTTCAAATTTGGGTTGATTTAGAATGTTTATAAAAGTTAGTAGCACTGAGGCCAGGTACAGTGTATCACACCTGCAATCCCAACACTTTGGGAGGCCGAGGCGGGCAGATCAGTTGAGGTCAGGAGTTCGAAACCAGCCTAGATAACATGATGAAACCCCATCTCTACTAAAAATATAAAAATTAGCCAGGTGTTGTGGTGTGTGTCTGTAATCCCAGCTACTCGGGAGGCTGAGGCACGGGAATCGCTTGAACCCGGGAGGCAGAGGTTTCAGTGAGCTGAGATCGTGTCACTGCAATCCAGCCTGGGAGACAGAGCAAGACTGTCTCAAACAAAAAAAAAAAAAAAAAAAAAAAAGGTTAATAGCACTATTACTAAAAACCGACAGATGGGAGGTTTTTAATGCTACATTTGTTACCATCGTACCTATCATGTTGAGAAAATTTAAAAGTGTTCAGTTATATTAGCTTTGTTCATCCAACCTTGTTTTCTGTTTCCATTAAAGGTACCTCTTAGCATAAATAAAGTTTGGAAAAGTTCCTCTCCTGAGAGAACTGGATTCTGGTATTCTGTCTTTTTATCTGAATGCTCTTTTATGGGTGTGTTTCATATGGAAATTTATTGAGTTTTGCACTTACAATATGTTTACTTTTCTGAGTGATGCTTCAAAAAGAAGTTTACATTAAATTTTTAAGAGCAGCCCCAAATTTGAGTACAATGAAGATTCGTTAAGAAGTCATGTTCGGCCGGGCATGGTGGCTCACGCTTGTAATCCCAGCACTTTGGGAGGCCGAGGTGGGTGGATCACGAGGTTACGAGTTTAAGACCATCCTAGCCAAGATGGTGAAACCCCATCTCTACTAAAAATACAAAAATTAGCTGGGTGCGATGGCAGGTACCTGTAATCCCAGCTACTCTGGAGGCTGAGGTAGGAGAATCGCGAGGTGGAGGGTGCAGCGAGCTGAAATTGCACCACTGCACTCTAGCCTGGGTGACAGAGTGAGACTCCGTCTCAAAAAAAAAAAAAAAAAAAAGAAGTCATGTTCAACTTCAATACTTTTGTAATTTTCTAATTTCTTAGGCAGTCACATAAAAAAGGATGCTAAAAGGCCAGGCGCAGTGGCTCACGCCTATAATCCCAGCACTTTGGGAGCCTGAGGCGGGTGGATCACGAGGTCAGGAGATTGAGACCATCCTGGCTAACATGGTGAAACTCCGTCTCTACTAATAATAATAAAAAAATTAGTTGGGCATGGTGGCAGGCACCTGTAGTCCCAGCTACTCGGGAGGCTGAGGCAGGAGAATGGCGTGAACCCAGGAGGCGGAACTTGCAGTGAGCCGAGATTGTGCCACTGCACTCCAGCCTTGTCTCAAAAAAAAAAAAAAAAAAAGCTAAAATAACAGAATGTGATAGATGGGTCCAGATCATATACATAATGTATTAAAATGTTTGACTACTTCTATCTGTTGTGGTTTAATACAAGCCTAGCTTTGAGTCCAAATACAGGTTTTCTGACATCATTTTCTACAACTTTTCTCAGAGTTCCCAATTTTGAAATGCTGGGCTCACTCAAAAGTGGCGGCTCCTTGTGCTTTGGAGAATGAGGATATCTGCCAGTGGAACAAGATGAAGTATAAATCAGTAAGCTAATATTTTATGTTGTTTTTTAGATCATGTGCCTCATTTAAAGCTCTTTCTGTAATGTTTCTGCCATATTTAAGAGATTAGCACTTTTTTTTTTTTTTTTGAGACAGTCTCGCTCTGTTGCCCAGGCTGGAGTGCAGTGGCACAATCTCGGCTCACTGCAACCTCCGCCTACCAGGTTCAAGTGATTCTCCTGCCTCAGCCTCCCAAGTAGCTGGGACTACAGGCGTACACCACCACATCCAGCTAATTTTTGTATTTTTGGTAGAGACGGCGTTTCACCCTGTTGGCCAGGCTGGTCTCAAACTCCTGACCTTAGGTGATCCGCCTACCTTGGTCTCCCAAAGTGCTGGGATTACAGGTATGAGCCACCGTGCCCAGCTGGGATTAGCATTTTCTAATATAGGAAGCTGTTTTGTCTTACAGCAGAGGGTTACTACAAAGCACTGCTGTTTTTGGTTGGGGAACTTTCATTGAACATACAGTTGGGAAGATGGATGACTCTGCAACCTTATGCAGTATAGATTTGTTTTCAAGTAGATTACCATTGCCATATGGTACCTGGAAATTTTTCTCAAACTCTAAAATACATCTGGAGACCTGCATTTGATTGATTATGTCAATGAAGAGTATGCTTAGTGTTTATGATTTATTGATTTAGTGCATTGCTACAAGGTAAGTGGTGACCCTATTAAAACATTTTGAATTCAGTTGTCTTTATTTTTTTTTTGAGACGGAGTCTTGCTCTGTCGCCCAGGCTGGAGTGCAGTGGCGCAATCTCGGCTCACCACAACCTCTGCCTCCTGGGTTCAGGCAGTTCTCCTGTCTTAGCCTCCCAAGTAGCTGGGACTGCAGGTGCCTGCCATCATGCCTGGCTAATTTTTGTATTTTTGGTTGAGACGGGGTTTCACCTTGTTGGTCAGGCTGGTCTCAAACTCCTGACCTCAGGTGATTCATCCCCCTAGCTTCCCAAAGTGCTGGGATTACTGGCGTAAGCCACGGCATCTGACCTCAGTTGTCTTTAAAATTCTGTAGCTTGTCATAAGAGGTCATAATTTAACACTTTAAATATAGTTTTTATATATATATATATATATATATATATTTTTTTTTTTTTTTTTTTCCCCGAGACGGAGTCTCGCTCTGTTGCCCAGGCTGGAGTGCAGTGGCGCAATCTTGGCTCACCACAACCTCCGCCTCCCGGGTTCCAGTGATTCTCCTGTCTCAGCCTCCCTAATAGCTGGGACTATAGGTGCCCGCCAACACGCCCAGCTAATTTTTGTATTTTTAGTAGAGACAGGGTTTCACTGTGTTGGCCAGGCTGGTCTCAAACTCCTGACCTCGTGATCTGCCCGCTTCAGCCTCCCAAAGTGCTGGGATTACGGGCGTGAGCCACCGCACCCGGCCAACTTCGTATATATTTCATCTTTATATATACCAGAAAAACCAGGTGGCCGTTACTAAGGTGATATTCCATCCCAAGGTTTGTTGAAGATGTCATTTTTTGAATGATGGTTTTCAGATAGCACTTTGTTACAGATTGGGTTGGTTACTTGTATTTTTGGGGGTGTAAAATCATAATTCAGGTATTTACAAAAAGAAAACAAAAAGTATTCCCAAGTTACCTAAATTTTAATGTTTTGTAAAACTTATTATAAGTGTAAACTTTCCCAGTGTTTTTCACGGAACTCCTTTATCTTCAAAACCAAATAGAAAATAGAACCGAGTTGAATGTAGGAACTTTTGCGTTGCTGGTCACAGCAAAGGTCACATTCAGTTGCACAATATGTGAATAACAAGGTTTTAAAAGCTATCTGGGGTGAGAAAGGCAAATGGGAATGAAAGGATAATTTAGTTTTTTGTTGTTTTAATGTTTTTCCTATACATCTTCAATTTAGAGAGAATTCTGTATTCTAATTTGAAACATGTTAAGAGGAAGTAAATGTTTATATTGATTACAGAGGTGACACTGGGATATAGCTTTTCTTAAAAGAATATACTTTATGTAAAAAGCAGAAAAATCAGAACTAATGAGATTTAGCAACTTATTGTGGGAACTGAGTCTGATTCTGTAACATTAAACGAAATGTTAGATTCAAAAGTCATTCAAACCAATAATACTCCATGTAGTGTAGCACTGGCTGAAAGATATTTAAAACAAAAAGGAAAGAAAAAGATCCAATTAAAAATCAAAGAAATAGTGGTCTCACCTTATGACATGCATTTTGTTTTACTATATTTATTTATTTATTTAATTTGTTTGAGACGGAGTCTTCCTCTGTCGCCCAGGCTGGCGTACAGTGGTGCGATCTCAGCTCACTGCAAACCTCCGCCTCGCGGGTTCAAGTGGTTGTTCTGCCTCAGCCTCCCTAGTAGCTGAGACTACAGGCACCTGCCACCACACCTGAATAATTTTTGTATTATTAGTAGAGACAGTTTAGTAGAGATGTTAGCCAGGCTGTGTTCGAACTCCTGACCTCAAGCGATCTGCCTGCCTTGGCTTCCCAAAGTGCTGGGATTACAGGCATGAGCCACCACACCGGGCCCATGACATGCATTTTAAATGTCTAACTTCTCTCTCTCTCTCTCTCTCTCTCCATAGGTATATAAGAATGTGACTCTACAGGTTCCAGTGGGACTGACTATACATACCTCTTTAGTATGTTCTGTGACTCTGTTCGTTACAATCCTGTGCTCTACGTTGATCCTAGTAGCAGTTTTCAAATATGGCTATTTTTCCCTATAAGTTTTATGTAGTTAAATGCTTCCTAGAAACCTAAATAAGACCTATTAATTTCTGACGAGAAGTGTTCTTCTAGAATTTAGTTAATTACTTTTATCTTTTGTCTTCATTTGTGGCCAAAATTATGTTTACTAGAGGAAATTTGGGATAATTCTCAACTAATTCCAAAATTTAGTGCTCTATTGCATAGATCCTTGGTAATCCTCAAGCATCAAAGGCCATAAGAGGAAACTTAATTCTGCTAAATTAATGTTTATTTTGTGAGAAGTGACTTTATCTTCATTTGAGAGAGAAAAATTATTTCTTTTTTTTGAGATGGAGTCTCGGTCTGTCGCCCAGGCTGGAATGCAGTGGCGCAATCTCGGCTCACTGCAAGCTCCGCCTCTTGGGTTCACGCCATTCTCCTGCCTCAGCCTCCCGAGTAGCTGGGATTACAGGCGCTGCCACCACGCCCGACTGATTTTTTTGTATTTTTAGTAGAGATGGGGTTTCACCGTGTTAGCCAGGATGGTCTTGATCTCCTGACCTGGTGATCTGCCCGTCTCGGCCTCCCAAAGTGCTGGGATTATAGGTGTGAGCCACTGCGCCCTGCTGAAAAATTACTTCTTTATGTAGTAGAGACAAATTATTGTCATTCTGCGAATACTTTCAATTTAAGCTACAAATTGAGAAAACCATTATAAATAAGAATAAAATAGGCCAGGCGCAGTGGCTCACACATGTAATCCCAGCACTTTGGGAGGCCCAGGTGGGCGGATCACCAGAGGTCAGGAGTTTGAGACCAGCTTGGTGAAACCCTGTCTCTACTAAAAATACAAAAATTAGCTAAGGGTGGTTGTGGGCGTCTGTAGTCCCACCTAATTGGGAGGGTGAGGCGGGAGGATCTCTTGAACCTGGGAGGCGGAGGTTCCAGAACTGGGAGGGTGAGGCGGGAGGATCCAGAACTGGGAGGGTGAGGCGGGAGGATCGCTTGAACCTGGGAGGCGGAGGTTCCAGAGAGCCAAGATCGCACCACCGCACTCCAGCCTGGGTGACAGAATGAGACCCTGTCTCCAAAGGAAAAAAAAAAAAGAATAAAATAATTTGGATGAAAATCATGTTTATTTAAATATTAATGTTATGAGACTATTAAAGACATTTGCCAGAGTTTCAATGAAAATCATTAAAGTAGGACAGCTAAGAAATTAATATTAATATCAAAATTATTGGTAATCTTAAATTATTGATTATTCCTTAACGTACTCCATTCTCCTTTTACATTTTATAATGTTTCTTTTGGATATATGATTTAGCAAAGGACTTGATGAAACTGAATACTAAGATTTAGTACAGTGTCAGGAAGACAACTCAGATTGCCATTTTGAATAAAGTTGTACATGAACAATAATTGGAATCATCAGGTAATTTTTTTAAACAAAGTTTCTTCATTTACTGTTATGTTTGGAAAAAAATTAGAAAATAAAGTAAGTGCCATAGGCTAATTAAAAAATAAAACCTTAGGGCAAGTGTGTTCCAAAACAGAAGCCATCAAACCAGGGTGTGTTGGCATTATTTGTTTTATATAGAGTATTGAGATGTGATAAACCTTTATATATGCCATCACTGCTCCATTTCCTAAAATATTTTGGTGTTTTCATGGGACTACATCTTGTAGAATTTGACATGTATGACTTGTCTAGCCATAACCGTTCTTTTTAAATGTGTATTTGAGACTTAAATATTGGAAAAGGCAACCCAGTGCCATAAAGCAGAAACAGTGACCTTTCAAATGACTAAAATTTCAACCCAGTTGAGTTTCAGACCGATTTCGTGCTTTCTCATAAGAAAGAATTTCATGTTTTAGAAATATTTCTTTCACTATGGCATTAATAATGTGACACTGAAATGGAATTATATGTCAGTTACAATTCAGTAACATTGACAGGCAACGTTTTGGAATACGGTTAGACAGGGAGGGAACATGGTATTGTTTCACATCGAGAGTGAGTATGTGGGGGTATGAGTGAGTATGTGGGGGTATGTGTATACAGAATGTTTTGTTTTTGCTCATCACAACCAGGTTTCATCAGTATTTAAAATATTTAAGATTGTGGCTTGGAATGTGGTTCAGCCATTTACTCACTTACGCAAATATTCAGAAGTGTAATAAAAATGTGAATGAAGAAAACTTTGATATGACTCTTCTTGCCTGGATAAATGGTTGCAGATGACATCACTTTTAGTATAACAGAACATTTCTGGTTTTGTTTATATTATCTTGTAAACATGGCCAACATGGTGAAACCCCGTCTCTACTAAAAATACAAAAAATTAGCCGGGAGTGGTGGCGTGTGGCTGTAATCCCAGCTACTTGGGAGGCTGAGGCAGGAGAATCACTTGAACCCGAGAGGCAGAGGTTGCAGTGAGCTGAGATCGTGCCACTGCACTCCAGCCTGGGTGACCAAGTGAGACTCCGTCTCAAAAGAAAAAAAAGAAAAAGAAATATACCTTTAAAGGAGTTCCTTTAGTATGTCTCTGTTGGTAGCTTGTTTATGTTTGATGATATATTTATTTCACCCTCACTCATCTGATGGATAATTTAGGTAGTTGTACACTTCTTTTTTTTTTTTTTTTTTGAGACAGAGTCTCACTCTGTCGTCCAGGCTGGAGTGCAGTGGCATGGTCCCTGCTCACTGCAACCTCCACTTCCCGGGTTCAAGTGATTCTCCTGCCTCAGCCTACTGAGTAGTTGGGACTACAGGCATGCACTACCACACCCTGCTATTTTTTGTATTTTTAGCAGAGACAGGGTTTTGCCATTGTTGGCCAGGCTGTTCTCGAACTCCTGATCTCAGGTGATCCGCCCACCTCAGCCTCTCAAAGTGCTGGGATTACAGTGTGAGCCACTGTGCCCAGCTGGTAGTTGTACACTTCTAAGCTTGGTTATTTTCTCTTGGTACTTTGAAAATATATCATTATTGACTGGAACCCATTTTGCTGTTGTGAAATCTGCTGTGAATGTAATAGTTGTTTGTGCAGAATGTCTTTTCTCTCTGGTTGCTTTATCTCTGGTATTCTGCAATTTCATTTGCATGTGTTTGAAATTTCTTTTACTTACCCTGCTTGCTGTTCAGTTTGCTTCCTGAATCTGAAGATTCTTGTCTTTAATCAATTCCGGAAATTTTTCAGCCATTATCTCATTATTATCTGTGTCTTTTGGTTTTTCTCTTTTCTCTCCTGGAATTCTCATTAGGAGTATGGTAGACCTTAACAATCTATCCCCATGTCTCTTAAGCTTGCTTTCATTTTTCCTGTCTCTAGGCTGTTCTCAGTAATTTCTTTTGATCTGTCTTTCAGTTTACTAATTTTCTCTTCAATTGTGTGTAATCTGCTATTTAACCAAACATTGGCTTTGGTTTCAATTATTCTTTGTTTCTAGAACTTCTACTTAATTCTTTTGTTGTTGTTTTTGTTTTGAGACGGAGTTTTGCTCTTGTTGCCCAGGCTGGAGTACAATGGCACAATCTTGGCCCACTGCAATCTCCACCTCCCAGGTTCAAGTGATTCTCCTGCCTCAGCCTTCTGAGTAGCTGGGACTACAGGCGCCCACCACCACGCCCAGCTAATTTTTGCATTTTTAGTACAGATGGGGGGTTTCACCAAGTTGGCCAGGCTGGTCTTGAACTCCTGACCTCAGGTGATCCGCCCACCTTGGCTTCCGAAAGTGCTGGGATTACAGGCGTGAGCCACCATGCCTGGCCTACTTACTTCATTTTCAAAGCTGTTTGGTCATTAAAAAGATAATAAAATAAATTTTAAAAAGCATCTTGTTTCTTGCTCATGTTTTCTAGCTCCTGTCTTATTTTCTTTAATCATTTAAATAGACGTATTTTATATTCTGTAGCCATTAATTCTAGCAGCTAAAGTCTGTATGGGTTTTCTTATATTCTTTGTAGTTTCTATTCACTCACTCATTGTTGCTTATTTCCTCAGGTATATTGTATTTTGGGTGCTCATGTTTGGCTTTAGAAATCCTGTTTAATCTGTGAAATCCTTTGAGACCCAGGTTGAGGGTACACCTGTGCAGTCAGGATTTGTATTTGTCTCGTCCAGGCCCCCCAGAACTCCAGCCTGGGACCACTTTCTTGACAAATTTGAACTTTAAAACCTTAGTGAGGGAAAATTCTAAAAGGTTATTAATTCTAAAGGAAAATTTTCTTTTTCCCTCCAAGCCCACTGCAGGCCAAAGTAAACAAATGTCCTGTACGTCTCCCTGGGCTAGTACAGGGTCTTTTTCCCCCAGTCAGTTCTTGAAGGGTATAGCGCTTTGAATTTCCAGTCCTATGCAGGATCACAGTCCTGATTTCTTGTATAGGCCCAAGTCCTTGTCTTTAGTTTCCTGTGCACCTGTTAAAACCCTAGAGATTTCTTAGATAAGTAGGTGCCCTCAACACAACCATGGCTTCACTGCCCTGCTTACCACTCTGGTTTCCTGCCCCTTCTTCAGGTTGAGTGTGAAGTTTGGAAGACTGTCAGAAGCATTCTGTTTTCATTCTTGCAAGCTGTGCCTTTGAAACAATGTCCTGTTTACCAGTGTTTCTGTGTGTTTATTAAACACACATAATCAGAGCATTTTTCAGGTTATCTCTTACTGTGCCATGTTGCTCCTTGATTCCTTTCTCTCCTGTACCCTCTGCATCAATTGAGTTTTCTGCGCTACATTGATAGAGAAGCACAATCCCTCTTTCTTTCCACTGCCTTCCTACTTTATTTCCCTTCTATTCTTGCATCTCTATACTCCATTATCCACACTGCAGTCTAGTGATCTTGAAGTGTAAGCCAGGTAACATAACTTCCTTGCTTAAAAGCCTTTTAATAAAGTATAGGCTTTTTACCATGGCATTCAGGATCTTTCATGACCTGAATCTTGTCTGCTCTAGTGTTTTCTTGATAGTACTGCCTTCTTGTTCTAGGCCCCAGCTACACAGGGCTTCTTACTGACTGTAGCAAGCCCTTTTCTTTCTTTTCCTGCCTGTATTGCTTTTCACCTCTGGGGGCTTCTCTGGGTGCTGTCTCTTTCTGTTCTTGCCTTGAGTATCACCTCCTTAATGAGGCCTTCTCCGACCACCCTATCCAAAGTAACCTCACCAAGTTTTTTCTTATACCAGGTGTGACCACTTTGATTACTATGTCTTCATATAAGCTCCACAAAGACTTGGTGAATCGTGTTCAACCTTGCATTTCTTTTGTGCTTTTTGTTTTGTTTTTGAGACGGAGTCTGGCTCTGTCACCCATGCTGGAGTGCAATGGCCCGATCTTGGCTCACTGCAACCTCCTCCTTCCTGGGTTCAAGTGATTCTCCTGCCTCAGCCTCCCGAGTAGCTGGGACTACAGATGCGCGCCACCATGCCCAGCTAATTTTTGTATTTTTAGTAGAAACAGGGTTTGATTGTGTTGGCCAGGCTGGTCTCAAACTCCTGACCCCAGGTGATCCGCCCACCTCAGCTTCCCAAAGTGCTGGGATTACAGGCGTGAACCACTGCACCTGGCCCACCCATGTATTTCTGATGCTTAACAGTGTCTAGTCCATATTAGACACTCAAATATTTGTAGAATAAGTGAAACATTGATGAACTCCTCCGTGGATAAAATAGGGAAGTCTTAATTTGCAAGAAGGTGGGACTTAATTTAGCAGCAAAATTTAAGAATTTGTAAGCAAAAAAGCAAGATGGATAACGGATGAATTCCCAGAAACAAATGTCGCGGAGCAGATGTGTATAACGGCAATCGTCTGTCAGCGTCTTCCGTCGGCAGAAATCTGCTAGGAGACAGTGCTGAATTAAATGAGGGACTGGCTGCTCCTCTCAATACAAAGACTACCAAAGGAATAAAAGCAACGTCCATCACCGAACTACGACTCCCAGCGGCCCCCGCGCGGGCCTGCCCATGGGAGGTGGCGCTCGTCTCCACCCCGGGGAGCTCCGGCTTCTGGCGGGAGGGGTGCTGAGTTCTGGTCCCGCCCCGCCCCGCTCCCCGCCGTCGCCCTCCTCCAGGGTTGTGGCCACGCGCAGCGGCGGCGGTTGTTCCGCTTCCCCTCCGGCCCGGGCCGTCGCCATTGCCGAAGGCACCCTCCCCTCCCCTCCCTGGCGGCCGCAGGGCTCCGCCGCCGCCGCCGGGCCTAGCGGTAGCAGCGGCTGCTCCAGCGCGGCGTCTCTTCCCGCCCCGCTTCCCCTTCCCTCCCCTCCCCTTCCCGCGCCGCGCGCTGGCCCGGGGCGGCTCCGCAGCCCGCCGGGAGCTCTGACGGAGGCGCCTCGCTGGGGCGGGGACCTTCCCTCGCCTGGGGTAAGTGCACCTAGGCCGACCGGCGCGGAACGCGGGCCGGCTCTCTTCCTCCTCCGTCCTCCTCCGCGGCCTGGCGGGCGGTAGTGGCCCGGGACGGCCGACCTGCCGCGCGCGGGGCCGGGGAGCCGCCACCTGCGTGCCGGGAGCCGCGGCTCCTGGGGCGGTGGCTCATTGTCTGCTCCCCAGGGCCGTTTTCTTCGCTGGCTTGAGCCTGAAATGGGAAGCTTGCTGGGCTGCCGGGGTCTGACTCTTCCTGGACCCAGCCCTGCCCTGAACCGCGCGGCCCCACGGGCGCTGCCGACTCTCGGTCTTCCCTGCCCTCCCGTTTCACCCTCTTCCTTTGCCCGGTTTTCTTAATGCTGGACCAGACTCTCCGGTTTTGTTCGTTGGTGTTTCCTCTCTCGCTGGCTCTCAGCCCTTCCTTGCTCGCTCTCTGTTCACCCCGGTTTCACTGCCCGGGAACATTGTCGCCAGGAGCTTGGCTGTTTTCTCCGCTCCAGCCTGGAGCCTCTTCCACATTCCACACCGGTGGAAACGCAGAGCGTCCCGGGCGCTGGAGGCCCCGCTGACGAGCGGAACTCTCGGAGCTTCTCCTCGCTCCTGTCTGAGCTTCAGCCTAGGGGTGGAATTAGCTGCTTTAGATAACTTAGGTGAAGTTAAGATTGGTTTTTCACCATGTTTGGCTTTCTTGGAAACGCACGCACAAACACAAAACGTTGCCACAGATTTCTCTGTGGACTCAACCTTTTGACTTAATTCTTTAAAGATAAGTCATCCAAGAACAGAAGCGTGTCATCGTCAGTGGGTGTGAGGTTGTACCCATCCTTGTATCTTAATTTTAATAGTACTATTCTCTGGGCAGTGTGAGCGGGATTTGTCTTCCCTGGATACCTAAGGAACTCCCGTTGAAATCATTATCTCACTTCTGCGTTACAGGTGATGTGTCGTTTCTTTGTTTTCTTTTTTAAGCTTTCTAGAAAGACAGAATGGTTAGGCCTAAAATTAGACTACGAAGAGCTGTGTTTTGGATCAAGGTTGTGCGCGTCACGTTTTTTTCCCCTGCTGTGTTCGACTCTTCCGCTCTTATAAGTAGGCAGGATATTGAAATGTACAAGAATTTGCTCTGGGGGTTTTGTTTTTGTAGGGTTGTCCAATGGAATAACACTCAATAAAGTTAGATTGGGATGAAGGCAGTGAACAGTAATTTTTAAAGCAGGTTAAAACTTGTCCACTTCGCCAGAAGGTCTTTGGCTTTTGTAAAACCCACTCATGCTCGTGTATATAGAAGGGCCTTTTTCATGTTCTGTTAGGAGTATGGATTTCAGGCAACTTTTTCACTCTGTCATCCTCGGCTATTAAATCTTTTCGAGCTATTTATTAGCCAAGCATACTGATTGACCCTTATTACGGAAAGTGAACCTGTGATAGATGTAGGTCTTAAACCAACTTTCCGATTTGGTAACAGAGGTTGACCTAAATTCAGTGTATTTTGTGTTTTCACTAAATAGCCCATTGTTACCTTTCTTTCCAGCAAGGCTCTGAAAAAAATGACTCCAATACTCAACTTCAATACTGTCATCATTTCTTAAATAGTAGTATCAGTTGTCCTTAACTTAATGGGTGTTTTATTGGCCTGAGGGATTAAGGTGTAGAAAGGTTGGAGTTTTGTTGGAGTTTGAAACTTGGTCTGTAGGTGTTGGCTTCTCTGCTAGTTTCTTCTAATCAGCAGATATTTTTATGAAGGAAGAGTTCCTGGGTATTTCACTTCCTTTAGGGCCTTGGTTTATGGTTTACTATCATTCAGAGAGATAACTGGACTCCGTGCTATTTAATACTAACCTTGCAAACCCAAATTCAAAATTAAGTTTGTGGTTCGAGTATACAAGTGATAGGGCTCTCTGATCTTTATGTTAGACAGGTTCCGAAGTAGATGCGGCTAACAATTAATATTTCTTTCTTTTTTTTTTTTTTTTTTTTGAGAGGGAGTTTCAGTTGCCCAGGCAGGGGTGCAATGGTGCGATTGCAACCTCCGCTTCCCGGGCTTAAGCGATTCTTCTGCCTCAGCCTGCCGAGTAGCTGGGATTACAGGCACGAGCCACCACGCCTGGCTAATTTTGTATTTTTAGTAGAGATGGGGTTTCTCCATGTTGGTCAGGCTGGTCTCAAACTCCCGACCTCAGGTGGTCTGCCCGCCTCAGCCTCCCAAAATGCTGGGATTACAGGTGTGAGCCACTGCACCCCACCAACAGTTTCTGTTTCTTTTCAATTATACTTTTTAAGAGAGACAACTTAGAATTTGTTCAGGTAGCTAAAGATAATCTTTCAATTATACTTTTCTAATATCTAAGAACTTTGTCAAGTAGCCAAGGATAAAATAAGTAGGTATTGTTAGATTCTTCCTATCTTTTATCTATCAAAATTGATTATTATAATAATACTTGAGATAGCATTTTGTTTGGCCTTCTGACTTTTCCACTTTTTTTTTTTTTTTTTGAGACGGAGTCTCGCTCTGTCACCCAGGCTGGAGTGCAGTGGCCGGATCTCAGCTCACTGCAAGCTCCGCCTCCCGGGTTCACGCCATTCTCCAGCCTCAGCCTCCCGAGTGGCTGGGACTACAGGCGCCCGCCGCCTCGCCTGGCTAGTTTTTTGTATTTCTTAATAGAGACGGGGTTTCACCGTGTTAGCCAGGATGGTCTCGATCTCCTGACCTCGTGATCCACCCGTCTTGGCCTCCCAAAGTGCTGGGATTACAGGCTTGAGCCACCGCGCCCGGCCCAACTTTTCCACTTTTGATTACAATTTGAAACTGGGTCATCTTCAAGACTCTAAGTCATAAGGGTTTTGATCAGTTTGTTAGTTAAGTTTCCAGACTAATCAGAGGGAGCGTATTAATTGCAAATTGTGTGTCCGAGCTCTTTCTAGGATCCTTTTTGTGCCTTAACAGAACAGAATAGGAAAGGAAAAAAAAAACCCTCATTGCCCCCCAAAAATAAAATACTGGTTGTTTTCTTCTGTGATCAGAGTTGAGTTTCATCGCTTCTTCCCTTCTAGGGTCACTTGCCTGGTTAAGGGTAGTCAGTCTGAACATTGATTCAGGATTTCAGTGCTCCAGCCTCCTCTCCCTGAGTTACTTCAGAACTTACTCCATGTATCCCATGTGGTTTGGAGCTAGAGTCCTGCGTTTGAATTCTTACTGTTCTGCTTTACCCTGGGCAAGATACACGTTCCTTTCAAGACTTTTCTCATCTGTAAGATGGGGATAATAAAAATAATAATACCAATTTCATAGGAACATTTAGATCAAATGAAGGAATGCAGGTATTCTGTAAGTGTAGTTCTTAATAAACGTCAGTTAATAGCCTATTCTTATATGCTGTAGAGTTGATACTCCTAAATTTAGATTTAATACTGCCTTGTAGGCCGGGTGCGTTGGCTCACACCTGTAATCCCAACGCTTTGGGAGGCTGCAGCGGGCGGATCACTTGGAACTAGAAGTTCGAGACCAGCCTGGCCAACATGGTAAAACCTATATTCTCTACTATTCTTTAGTAGAGAATTTAGTATTCTCTACTAAAAATAAAAATACTAGCCGGACGTGATGGCAGGCGCTAACCCCAGCTACTCGGGAGGCTGAGGCGGGAGAATTGCTTGAACCCAGGAGGCAGAGGCTGCAGTGAGCTGAGATCGTGCCACTGCACTTCAGCCTGGGTGACAGTGAGGGTCCGTCTCAAAAACAAAAATAAAACTGCCATCTAAAAGAACGAAGTTTCTGAGACCATAACTAAAAAATAAAAAATTTTTTTGGTGAATAAAATATAATTTTTCAGAAGAAAAAACATAAAATTGTTTCACCACTGAAATAAAACATAGGGTTTTCGAACACAGATTTCTCAGATTTAAAAATATGCATATTTCCTGTAGAGAAGTTGGGAAGTGGGCAGTGGCTGGTGGTGCCTGTAGTCCCAGCTGCTCGGGAGGCTGAGGATCCTTTGAGTCCAGGAATTTGAGGTCAGCCTGGACAACATAGGGGGACCCCATCTCTTAAATGAGTCAAAAATAAAAGCAGAAAACAATATTAAATAAGAAATTTGGAAAGTAGTAAAAACCATTAAGACAAAAATCACCTTAGTCTCAGCTGGCAGAGAGAACTATTGTAACAAACTGGAACAGTGGTTTTGTCCCTTATTTTACATTTAAATTCTAAAAGCAGTCCATGTTTGTTATAAAAGGTTCCAACAAGTCGATTAAATATTTAAAGAGTGAAAATGCCAGCACTTTGGGAGACTGAGGCAGAAGGATTGCCTCCTGAGTCCAAGAGTTGGAGGTCCAGTGAGCTGTGATTGCACCGTTGCATTCCAGCCTGAGTGACAGACACAGCCCTGTCTTATAAAATTCTTAAAAAGTGAAAATTGCTCTCGCTCCACTTTTTAGTCCCACTCCTTAGAAGTGCCTACACACTGTTAATAGTTTTACTTACTAAGTTAGAAATAAGTCCCTGTTGTGTGTCGGATACTTTTTATGTTGATTTTAAAATAAAAAATCTGATCGTTAACCATATCATTACATATAGTGGCACCTCTACTTTTTAAGTCAAAAGATACTACACTATAGGTAGTACCTTAATTATTTGTGGTCATTTATGTTATTTCTGACTTTGAGTTACTAAAACTAGAGCCTGAATGAATTTCTTTATACGTATGTCTTTGTGCACATGCATATGTATGTATTTCCATTAAAACGACTTGTAAGTGTACATTTAAATTTCTTTTTTCCTTTTGAATTGCATTCCAAAAAGATGTTACCAATCTGTATTTCCTTATTGAATTGTAGAAGCTCTTCACATGTCATAGATATTAATCTTTTGCCTTCTGTTTAAGATCTTCCTCATTCCACCTTTACAAAAACATTCTTATGTGTTTTCTTCTGGTAGTTTTAATAATTGTTGTGTTGGCCGGGGGCGGTGGCTCAAGCCTGTAATCCCAGCACTTTGGGAGGCCAAG